CGTCTCACTTTTTGTCCAGCGCAGCTGCTTGTCACTCGCCCAGGACGCGGTCAAGACGATGCAAAACTGCTTGGCGCGGCTCCACCATGCGTCTTACGATGGCTGCATGCTGCCCGGTGGCGGCGCGGTCCTCGCCGCGATCGCAGCGGCGCTGCAGCCGCGAGAGGACCTTGCGGCGATGGCGACGGCCTTCGAGTCGACCGGCTTGCAGCTGCTGCAGAACGCTTCGTCCTTGCCGTACTTGGAAGCCAAGAACACGTGGCGCCGCGTCTACGCAGCGTACTGTGACGGCTTGGACGAAAGCGACAAGTTCTTAGAGACGGCGTTCTACGGCCGCCGGCTGCGGCTCCTCCAAGACCATCGCGTGCGCTTCGATAGCTACAATAGCACAAAAGACGGCCTCCGGGCTGCCACGCGACTCGTGACGATGACGGCCATGCTCGGGCCGGCCGTCATCAACGTCCCGTAAAGTGCTCAAGTAGAAAAATAGTCACATGGTGGGCTGCGTGCATACTAGTGCCATCGGTAAGAGCAACAAAGGACACGTTGTCCAATGGCATCCCCGAGGTCCATTTCTGTAGCCAACGATTGAAAAATGACAAAATACTGTAGCTCCTCACTTTGTTCATTGACACGGTGGCGTGCCGTAGCAGGCGGGCTTGCTGCTCATCGTTTTTGCGAGCGCGTCGTTCGGGGCGAGCTCCTTGGCGACGAGGGTGACGACGACCTTTTTCATTTTGACGCCGCCGCAAAGTCCGTGCGGGCACCTGCCGAAGTTGTGAAGGGCGACGACGACGTTGCCGGCGGCCGAGAGCACTGGCGCGGAGTTGCCGCCTTGCGTATCGAGTCGTACCCGATTTCATCTTGGACGCACGCGTGTGGATGCGCGCATTCGTGACGACACTGAGCTTGCCCGAGTCGACGACGACCGCCGCGTGCTGCGGCCATCCACGAGAGTGACCAATGACATGGATCGGCTCGCCGAGTTGGGGTTCCATCGGTCGCATTTGGAGATACCCCACGGCGTCAGATCCACGTTCCCGACCTGTAAACGCGCAAAATCCAAGTGATCCAAGTTGCTGTTAAGACAGACAAGCTCGGCCTCGGTCGCGACGCCTGAGCCCTTGCACGCGAGCGGCTTCTTGTTGTCGGCGTCATCGCAGGCGCAGACAGCCCCAAGTTCAACTGGCACCTTTTGCATCGCGGCGTCTTGATGCAGTGGTGGTTGGTCACGAGGTACCCTTCCGAGCCGAGGAGCCATCCGGTGCAGAGCGACTTGCCGTTGATGAGCAGCCGCGCGCCGAGTTGTTCTTGCCGCACACGGCTTCGGACACATTGGGCGACGGATGCCCAAAGCCCTCCTTGTCGATGGAAACCACCGGCGTCGTCGCCTGGTTAGTTGACGTGTAGCCCATCGTGGTAAATCTTATTGTATAATAAGATCTAAATTCATGTGCTGGGCTCGAACGAGACTCGTCTTGCATGGCTCTCACAGTTGTGGTGCTACACCAACCAACGCGGTCAGCGAAAGAGTAGGGACTCGAAAGAATTTGGAGGCTCGTAACCAAGCTTCAATCTATTGAGGCGTATTTGCTGCTCAAGGCGTAGTGTGGTGGAGACGATCAAGAGTACGTAAAGTAAGAACAAGAGTAGCATACCATTGGGCGTTATAATCGGCAAGAATTAGGCGACTAAGCGAGCGAGGGCGGTCCTATGCGACTACACGTAGGATGCGGCAAACACACGGACGGGCTCGGTCGAGCTAGAATGCAATAGGATGGTCTACGACAGATAGAGCTCCAAAAGCTCAAAAATGCAAATTCGAATGAAAGTCCCTCAGATATGAAAATTGTACAACTAACGTCTTTCGTTCAGACCATATTGCTACGGCAATCAGATCGCCCGACGCGTTTTTAAGTCATTGGGACATTCACACACACACACACAGAAGCATACATCGATCAATCATACACGTCGAGATCCGACCGTCGACGCCAGAAAAAATACAGAATAAATACAGAAAAATACACATCCTACGCAAAACATGCAGACCGAGCCCAGTCCAAACAACAAGAATTGTTTGATGAGGGGCAGTAAATATACAATTTCCCAGGCATATATTTATCTATACATACGCGAGTCGGAAAGCAGTGCAAGTTTACTTTTCCTTCTTCGCGACGCGGTACGAACCGACGACCACGGCGTGGTCACGCTCATACGGCTCGAGCGTAAGCTGCTCGGCGGGCTTGAACTGGTCCTGCTGGAGCTTCTTGACTTCGCGCGTGAAGACGGCCTCAGCGGGCGCCGTCGAGTCAATGCAGCTAGCCTTGATCGAGACGACAAAGTGGCCGCCGTTCTTGAGGAAGTACGAGGCGTTGAGGGCGACGATACGGGCCTGATCGGGCTGGGCGACATCGGCAAAGATCGTGTCGACCATCGGCACGAGCATGCGGTACTTGAGCGGGTGGCGGGCATCTTCAATGATCGGGATCACGTTCGTGCGCGACTTGGCCATGTTGATGAGATCGCGGCCCGAGCGGTGCGAGAACTCGACGGCGTACACGGCGCCCGTGGGGCCGACAATGTCCGAGACGTGCGAGACGGTCGTACCCGAGGCACCACCAATGTAGAGCACCTTGGCGCCGGGGCCCATCCAGATGTTGTCGACACCGCCGAGGATCGCGGCAGCAAGCTTGGAGCGGAACGGGTTCCACACGCGGTACTCGACCTTCTCGGTACCCTCGCCCGAGGCGGCAGGGACGTCGACCGAGATGCGCTTCTCGCCGTAGACCGACCACCGCCACGACCACCAGCGCCACGACCGCCGCCACGGCCACCGCCACGTCCACCGAAACCACGTCCAGACATCTTCGTTGAGGTTGGTAAATTGAAAATGGAACGGATATGAAATCTATGGCTTGGATGAGCACTGGAGCTGGGAACCAACCACCGGGCCAGTTTGCCGCCCCATGTGATTGGTGGAGCTAAGAAAAAAAGCGCACTTTACGGAACGTCTGCAAATTGGCCCCTCGGAGCGACCAGTCGTTCGGCGGCGTCCACGTTAAGTGCGCGGACTTTACCGAAAAGATCTACACGTGCGTCTGTTGCAAGCCGGCCGAGGACGGCGACCAAGCGTGGGCAGGCACCATAGGCAGGCGCATGCGATCGCGGCTGCTGCCAGTGGAACGAAGCAGCTTGGACGAGCTCAGGGCTGCTGCTACTATGCAGTCCTGTAAGGCGTGAGATGCCTGTGAAATATCGCTATACTAGTCGAAATATCCTTGTCCACGGCGCATCACGCTGGAAATACGCTTGGCTCTCTTAGCTTGGATCCGCATGAGTGGGCCGCGACTGCAGTGAGCGGCGCTTGTTTAGCCTTGGAGACCGTAGGCAGACGCATTTAGCTGTTGTGAGGATGGACGCAAAACCTACGTGGAGCCGCCGAGACGAGCCTGGCGGGCCGCGCCGACGGTATGTAGTCAAGCAATGATCGCACGAACCGCGCCCGAAATGTGATGTACAAACGCGGCAGTGATGGCAGCCTTCTTCACGCCCGGGTTGGCATCGTACTTGACAGCTCGGGCTTGACGCGAGCCGAGCGCGTCGTTGCACGTGCCAAAGGGCACGGACACAGGGCGAGGAATTGAAGAGAGTATGATCCAAGTGTACGCACCGCTTAGCGTTATTAGCAGACGTAATGTTGAAGTAGCCGTTCGTAGTTGCTGACGGCAGCTGCTTGTCATCGATCGGCGTCCATCACCGCCTTGTTGTGCCAGTGCCAGGACACAAGGCAACAAATACGGGTAGAAGAAACCAATGTACTAGCGAGCTACACATGTAATACCAGCGTTGACGTCGATCCGACATTCGTGCTTCTATCTGCCTTGCGGCGAAACGGGTTTCCTTGCGTGGGATGCTTGGGCTGTTGTCATGCGCTTCGCGTTAATGCCGGTGTGTCTGTCGACATGTACACCGGTATGTACTTGTACAATCTTCTCGGTCGCCTTGACGTTGCTGATAGACCAACGCGACTCTTATGATCGCAAGCCACATCGGCACGCGTCTGCTACGACGCAAGAACTCCATGAAGCAAGGCATTTATAAGATCCGCTCCATCAACAAGTCGTCGTAGCATGTGCTCGCCTCCGAGACCAATGCACGTATACATTGCCTCACGGAGGATACCGTACGTGCATCGACCGTCGTGGGTTCATGCAGCGCCATCCACGAGGACCGAGGTAGCGTCATTAGCACTGCAAGACGACTGCTGCGAAAAGCAAGGTCGACTAGTTCAGCACTCCTATCCATTGACTCCTATCTGCCGTCCTCTCGACGAGGTGGTTCTGCCGACATAAGACTACTTGGTACACCTGTGTCTCCTGCTGTCAGTCCGTTTCTCATCCTTGTACACGCTTCTGATATACGGAAGAAGATGCTGGAGTTCGTTTTGGGTCGAAGCAAGGTGAGACTCGACCTCCTTCGGTGCGCATTGGTGCCCGCCTGCATCGGAGTTTGCTGACGTCAATAGCGCAATAGGGCGTGGGCCAGCACTATACGCATAACGCTAGCTGTCATGGTTTGTGCAATGCAAGCACGGAGCAGGTTGCATTGAACTGTTTAAGAGTAGTTCCGCGACGGATCCAGTTTCTACCTTTCTAACAAAGCGGCGCCGCTTAGAGGTCGCCGGGAAGGACCTCAGTGACGCGCAAGACCGTGACTTGGCGGCGGTACCCGTTCCACCGGCGGTAGTTCTTTCGGCGCTTCTTCTTGAAAATATCAATCTTTTCGTCGAGCGTTTGCTCTTCGACACGGGCTTGGACCTTGGCACCCGTGATGAACGGGCGGCCAATGATCGTCTGGTTGGGCGAGCCGATCAAAAGCACCTGCAGACAAGCTATTAGGTTTGCCATCGACTTTAACAGTGGCGTACCTCGTTGAGGTCCATGATCGTGCCGACCTTGGCGTCGATGATCTTTTCGGCAATGACCACGTCGCCCTGCCATGGATCCGAGTGAGCTACATCTTATAGGCGAAGCGGGCTGCAGCGTACCTGTGTCACCTTGTATTGCGTGCAGCCCAATTTGACGACGGCAAAGATATCGCCGGCAGCCGCCGACGCGCTCAAGGTGGCGTCGGTCTGCGGGTGGCGCACGATGGAGAAGCTCGCGGGCGTGGCGGCGTCCGACGAGAAGGCGCGAAAGGCAGCCGGCATCAGCGGACGCGAGGCGCGGGCATGGGCGAGCGCGCGGAACAGAGCCATCTTTTGCTGAAGAGCGCAGACCACCAATTGCTCGAAAAGGAACGAGGTCGCCATTTCCAACGCCATTTTGGCCAATCACATGTCGACCTTTCTAACCGACTCGAGAGGACGGTTATGCAACCGAAACGGATGCAAACCGGTGATTCGGTTGCTGCATTTTACACTATTTTACGGTGGCTTGAGGTGGCCCACGACCACGTCATACGTAAATAGTGTCGTTGAAAATGTGCCTTGTTGGCCTGTCTACAGCGATCCGCTTTGTGCGTCCTACACTGGTACTACCTTCGTTGGACCACAGTCTGCATGTTGGGATTGTATGCTTTCTGTAGCATGGGCGCACGGTGGACGTGTCCTGGCGCCGTGTGATGCTCCAAGGCTTCCAAACGGCTACTGCCGAAGCTTCCGTGGCGTGCGCGTAGCCACGTGTCAGTCGCGCAAATGCTTGTTCGGCGCTTGTCTAAAAAGACCCAAGAATCTATTTCGCGGACTGCATGCGAGAAAGAACCACCTTGTCGGCGCGGACAGCAGCAGCTTGAATCTCACGCCGAGCCTCGCGAATCTCAGCCGCGCGTCCTGTTTCTTCTGCGTTTGCAGGAAGGAAGGCGCGAGCCAACCAAACAAACGCTGTTGCAAGTTCAACTCCGCACGTGCGTCCAAGTGCGCGCGTGTGTTTACCAAGCGCGAGCACTTCCGGCGCATCTTCCGGATACGAGCGACAGCACGCCATACGATTCGTCCATTGTAGCCAATCAAACGGCAGAGATCCCTGCGAAGCTTCTATATTCGGATATTCACAGCGAGGGCGGCTACTGATTGGCCGTGGCCGCACCCACTCTTGGGCAGCCAATGGATGTCACCGCCATACAAACTTGCAGTGTGTATGGTCTGCGGCCAGCAAGCGCTGGGCTCGTTTATTTAAATCGTCCGCCGAATTCATTGAATGAGCAATACAAAAGGCCAATGATATTTTGACACGCCGACCGACGTGGCGCCATGGATTTGGTCCTTGGCGATTGACCTCGCGTTTGTATGCTGGCGTGGCTCTCCGTTCTTAGCTCATTTTCGAATTTGCCTTTTCGAGCTCACGAACAAGATGGCGTCCATGGGAGACTACCGCGTTGCTGACATTTCGCTCGCCGACTTTGGCCGCAAGGAAATCGAGATTGCCCAGATCGAGATGCCCGGCCTCATGCAGTCCATCGCCGAGTATGGCCCGTCGCAGCCGCTCAAGGGCGCGCGCATTGTCGGCTCGCTCCACATGACGATCCAGACGGCCGTCCTCATCGAGACGCTCAAGGCGCTCGGCGGTGACATCCGCTGGTGCTCGTGCAACATCTTCTCCACGCAAGACCACGCCGCCGCTGCGATCGCTCGCGATAACTCCGCCGCCGTGTTTGCCTGGAAGGGCGAGACGCTCGAGGAGTACTGGGAGTGCACCTTGAACGCGGTCACGTGGCCCGAGGACGATGGCAAGGGCGACGGCCCGGATATCATTGTCGACGACGGTGGCGATGTCACCCTCCTCATCCACGAAGGCTACAAGGCCGAACAAGAGTTCGCCAAGAACGGTACCCTTCCTGACCCGGCCTCGACCGACAACGCCGAGTTCAAGTGCGTCCTCGGCCTCATCCGCCGCACGCTCCAGACCGACCCCACCAAGTGGACCAAGATCGCCAAGCGCTGCAAGGGTGTCTCGGAGGAGACCACCACGGGCGTCCACCGTCTGTACCAGATGGAAAAGGCCGGCAGCCTTCTGTTCCCGGCTATCAACGTCAACGACTCGGTCACCAAGTCCAAGTTTGACAACCTTTACGGCTGCCGCCACTCGCTCCCCGATGGTATCATGCGTGCCACCGATGTGATGCTTGCCGGCAAGCGCGCCGTCATCTGCGGTTTCGGTGATGTCGGCAAGGGTTCGGCCCAGGCCATGAAGGCTGCCGGTGCCATCGTGTACGTCACGGAAGTCGACCCTATCTGCGCCCTCCAGGCTGCCATGGACGGTTTCCAGGTCGTCCGCCTCGAGACGGTCGTCGGCGTCGCTGACATCTTCATCACGACGACGGGCAACAAGGACATCATCATGACCCACCACATGGCCAAGATGAAGAACAACGCCATCGTCGGTAACATTGGCCACTTCGACAACGAAATCGACATGCTCGGCTTGGCCAAGGCCACGAAGCGCCAGAACATCAAGCCCCAGGTCGACCGCTTCGTCTTCCCGGATGGCCACGGTGTCATCATGCTTGCCGAGGGCCGCCTCTTGAACTTGGGCTGCGCCACGGGCCACCCGTCGTTCGTCATGTCCAACTCGTTCACGAACCAGACGCTCGCCCAGATCGAACTCTGGAAGGAGAAGGACTCGGGCAAGTATGAGACCGGCAAGGTGTACGTCCTCCCGAAGCACCTCGACGAGAAGGTCGCCCGCCTCCACTTGGCCAACCTCGGCGTCGAGCTCACGGTCCTCTCGAAGGAACAGGCCGACTACATTGGCGTCAACGTCGCCGGCCCCTTCAAGCCGGAGACCTACCGCTACTAAGTTGCCTCGTGTTTTGTAATACTTAACGAGAAGCTCTGTCAGCTGTACTCCATCTGCTTTCCACATGAAGACAGCCATTGAAAGACAAAGTTGGTGCAAGTTACGGGATAAGGACCAAGATCAAAATTAGCGCGACCGTCAGGATGGCAATGATGATGTAATAGGCACAGACCTGCAAGGCAGCTCATGAGGCTTCTCCGGACCCATGGAGATACGAACCTGCTTCTTGCGCTTGTTGACAGCCTTGGCCACTTCTGCCTGGGCAGTGAGCTCGGCGGTGGCAGCGACCGTTGTCTATGCATGAGCGTGCTGAGCCCAGAAGCACGCCGCAGCACGCACCTGTCCAAGGTTGGAGATGATGACGTCCTGTGCAGCGACCTCGTCCTGCGCAGCTATCGCGTGGTTCTTAATGCGCTTCGCCCCCGCGAGGATTTCGTCAAGGTCGCCTTCCTGCGTTGCTCATGTAGGAGGTCGACCATGCGCGTAGAGTGTAGTACCTGGTTCTGTCGCTGCTGCTCCAGGGTCATCGTGGGCGGCGGGTCGCGGGGCGTCGCTAGCTCCTCGAAGCTCGTCTGCAGTGGCATCTCGTTGGCCGTTGGCGAGCCGAATTCTGAATTGCTACATGTTGAAAAACCATCTTGGTCAACGTATTCGCCGACGGAATTATTTCTAATTTTTGCTATTTTAGGCAATTTTCCTCTCCAGCTTGCATTGCAACCTTTTGCGCTCGCCCCACCGGGTGTGCGAAGACGCGTGCACGTGCATTAGAAGGCTCGGCCTTGCGTTGTATGACCGTATGAAGGATATGTATACCCTTGACCGCCCTACCGGAGACCGGTAAGCACGACATCGCTTGCGGGAGGAGTTGCCACACATCTGCGACGGCTAGTCAAGATTTTTAAGCTTGTGTAAAGTATATGCATACAAAATCAAGTTTAATAATCGCTGGCTGCATGGGCATTGAAGGATGGCAAGCGTTCTCTGGATGGACCCTTGACACTTCAGATTTCGTTCCACCGGTATGTACCTTTGACAAGGCGACTACCTTGTACGAATGGAGAGCAACACCTGCCTCGGGTGCACAAGTACCATTGTGCCCGAAGATGGGATGCGAAAATCAAGGGCGTCGGTGCATCGGCACGGCTGTTGTAGAGTCACGTGCGTAGGTGGAGCTACGCTCATCACGCATACATCCCTGTACTATTGATGGGCATCGTCGTAGAGCCAACGGGCGAATTGCCGGAGTCGTTGCCGATGATGGCTGGTGATGGGAGCTACTAGTACTCAAATACTAGTATCAACTAAACAAGTTGGCGGCCTTGTCGCACCTTCCTGACAACTCCAAAGAATGCTATGTGGCACGAGTCACTCGGCGTGGGTCTCAGTGCCGGAGCTACACTGTAGCAGTCTCCCTCGGCCATCGCCATCGCCAGATGTGTGCTTGGTAATAAATAGTAAGAAGCATAGAACCTCGCATGCAGTACGGTGCTTAAGTGTGCGGTGTCCGCAGGCAATGCATCGCAGACATATTCCTACGTTGACATTGGAGTGCTCAAGGGCACGACATCATCGTGAGTTCGAATCTCCGGCTTGGCGCGGCAAACGCCGTTGAACTCAGAAACGCCTTGGTGAAAATCACGAGGTTGGAAACGTTTCCCACGCATCCGGATAATCTGACGACCTGTCGACCGCCAACGCGTGCCCGCTTGCTGCCACAGGCGAGCCAACGACGACGCGTAGGAGATGTACATTGTACTGATTGAGGCTCTTTGGCGTGAAGTGCTAAGCTTTGAAAGAGAGCTCGTACGAGCTGCGTCGGGTGTGGGCTGGCGGGGTGTCGTAACGCCGCTGCATCCGGACATATCCGGATAAGAGGTTCCACAATCGAGGGTGTATCCGGAGTGGTTTAGAACCAGGCCGCCAGACGACACAGGGCACAAGACGACAACAAGGGCAGGATGCCAACACCGACTGCGCTCAAGCGGCAGAAGCTGCTGGCCGAGAAGGCGATGCTCGAGCGCTCATTGCAGCTCATTGAGTCCGGCACGCACGAGGACTTCATCGCGCGCCTATCGCCGCTCGTCCAGGACAAGCAGCGCATCCTGGCGTTTGGCGAGACGCGCACGGCCCACTTGGCGGCGAGCGCGGACGTCATCTTCACGTACGAAAGCGAAGAGGCCGAGAAGGAGTACGTCGCAGCCTGCGCAAAGCTCAAGCACGACATGCTTGAGGAGATTCGGCTCGAGATGAACCGCGCCGTGGCCCAGCGCGCCCATGGCGCCGGGTCGCACTCGTACAACAAAGCGTCCATGGCCTACAACCGCCAAGCGTCTCGAAGACACACACGCAGCCGCAAGAAGCCACATGCAGCATTCTCGCTGGGCGACGACTGGAGCAACTCGCGCGCGAAGCGGCCAGCCACGGTCTTTACCCCGCTCGCCAAGACGTTGAGCTCGACCGAGATTGATGGCGACCTTCGCCTCCTCGAAGAGGCGGCCGACGCGTTTGCCTCTGCTACGATTGCCAAGGCGCGCAAGGGCAACGACGGCGACGACGACGGCAACCCGATTTTTGCGCGCTTTGAGAAGGGCAAGATTCTCTACAAGGACTGGATCCTCCAGGAAGGCGACGAGATTCACATCACAAAGCCGTCGAGCACAAGCTACGTTGCGATCATTTGCGACGTGACATCGGCCGAAATCTTTGTTCTCAAGGAAAGCGGCAAGTACAGCCGCGTGCTAGTGCAGGATTTGCGCTCGGGCGAGGTCTCGGTCGAGCCCACTGACGCCGACGAGTCGGCCACCCACGCTGGCCAGTACGACGACGAGTAACGTGACGTCGGTACAACGAGTGCACGCGGCGAGGATCCAAGACGCGTTGTGTATTTCTCGTCTTTAGTGCGGGTATTGCTTCTTAATTAAAGCTTGTTTTCGTCCTTGTCCGTGTACATGTCGGGCACCTGGAGGCCCACAAGGCGCGCCGACTTGTTGACGATCTCCTTGGAGCTGAACCGCTTCTCAATGCCCGCGTCCAACGACCAGAGCGTCTAGCACAGGCGAGTTTGCACTTGCCATTTTGGCAATCCTATACCTTTTGTTCTGCGACACCGCTCCAGAGCACCAAGAGGTCCGTGGCCTCGCTGCGGTAGTGCTTGATCTTCTCGCGGTCCGTCTCAAACTGACGGGCGCGGTACTGAGGAGGATGCAGAATGAGCGGCGTGGAGCAATAAGATCAATGATGTACTACCTTCTCAAGGAGGAGGTTGGACCAGAGCTTGTTGCCCGTGCTATCGCGGTTGATGCGGATGAGCGACCGAAGCGTCTTCAAGACGTCCGTCTTGGACCCCATGCGCAAGCTTCGAGACATCTTTGTCCTTTCTTCGGGTGGTGGCAGGCGCGATTCGATTGAGCGCCGCGGGACAAACAGCTCGAATAGTGTATGCTAGAATACACTAAATAGTGTTATGGAGTAAGGTGCGCGGCGTGACCGACTGGCACACCTTTGGTCGCACTCTCATGTAACCTATGCCAGCCCCACTTGCTAGCCATAGGCGACGCGCTACTCGTTGGCTACAACCGCGGCGCTGCAGCACTGTGGCGCTCTTTGAAACGTACAAAACGCCCGGTGTACAGCGCCACCTCTTCCTACTCGCGCCACAACACTGCGTGGATCTTATTGAACGCATACACCACTGGCCACTTCCCTCGGCTCTATTGAAGGCCCATGTGAGCTTTGTAGTACACCTCGGCGGTGTCCTCTGGAGTGTGCGTAAACTTATTCGTATGAGGGGTCGTCGCCGACAGTGTCGATGATCAACACTATTTAAAATCGTCCTTTAAGTGCGTGTTGAACCTAAGCGAAACCCGCACTTTGTCGGAACCGATACAAACCAATAATTTGATTCAATTGGGTGGCCTCTACAAGATCAAGCGCCCACATTTCAAGTTGCGGCGCTTGGATCGACGACGGCTCATCGATGACGAAGACGATCATTCGCATTGGCACGGACGCGCCCCACATGGTAGGACAGCGCGCCATGGTGCTTGCAATGGATCGGCCGCCTCATGCTGCCTCTACCTGCGTAGCCCGACACGGAATGTGAGGCGAGCTCCAAGTTCCTCGAGTCGTTCAAGAAGAACTTCAAGATCAAGATTCAGAGCCTCGACGAAGAGAGCATGGTCTTTGACATGGTGGGCATTGACGCGTCGATCGCGAACGCGTTCCGCCGCATCCTCCTCGCCGAGGTCCCGACCATGGCCATCGAGCACGTGTACATCTGGAACAACTCGTCGATCATCCAAGACGAAGTGCTCGCGCACCGCTTGGGCTTGATCCCGTTGATGGTCGACCCGCGCGACTTTCAGTCGTTCCCGGGTACGCGCCTTCTCTCGTCGATGCGATGCGATGCCGATGGCTCATGGAATCCGGTGTAGAACACGAAGAGGCCGAGGCCACGGACGAGAACACGCTCGTCTTCAAGCTCGATGTCGTCTGTGAAGCGAGCAAGGAAGATCCGTCCGACATCTCTAAGGCCACGAACGCGTCCGTGTACTCGCGCCACTTGGAGTGGATCCCGCAGGGCATGCAGGAGGAGCGCTTCGGCAACATCCGCCCCGTCTCGGAAGACATTCTGATTGCCAAGCTGCGCCCGGGCCAGTGCATTGCGCTCGAAGCCCATTGCCGCAAGGGTGTCGGCAAGGACCACGCCAAGTTCTCGCCCGTCGCCACCGCGTCGTACCGGTTGCTGCCCGACATCCAGTTCCCGGCGCCGCTCAAGGGCGCGGATGCCAAGACGCTCCAGAAGACGTGTCCCATGAACGTCTTTGACATTGAAGACTCGGCCGCGATCGTCGCCCGCCCGCGTGACTGTACCATGTGCCGCGAGTGCATCCGAGCGCCGGGCTGGGACGCCAAGGTCAAGCTCGGCCGTGTGAGCGACCACTTTATCTACTCGGTTGAGACGGTTGGCATGCTCAAGCCGGAGGAGCTCTTGCCTGAGGCCCTCAAGGTGCTCATGGCCAAGTGCGACGTCGCGGTCGACTCGCTCAACGCTGTCGACGACGAGCTCAGCCAAGACGTCGAGATGGAGGACGACGCGGACGAAGACGAGTAAGCAGGCATTGATATATAATATATATAAAGCACGAAGATGAGCATGGTAGAAGACGACGAAGAGATAGAGGAGGACGTTAGTACTACATTAGATGGCGGAAGTCGATTTGGATGTCTACTCGTCGCCGTTGAGGAGCACCGAGGCCGCGCGGATGGTGGCGAAGAAGAGACCCATCTTGAGCACGTCCAGCATGAGCGCGCGGCGCTGCTTGCTGTGGTCGACTTGCGGCTTCTTCTTCACGGCGAACATGACGGGCGTCTGTACTTGGCAGTCTTTTCGTGGCTGCCAAGCGCGGGCCGCGCAGCGCAACCGGATACAGACCCTCCGGATAAGAATTGCTGGCGCGAACGACACTCGCGTTCGAGAACGACTGGCTAAAAACACGCACCCTTACGGACACCACCAGGATGCAGCACCAGCAAGCGCATCCCGCGCCACCGACACGCGCAAGACAGAGTACCCCTTGAAGAACAAACACAAAGGAGCGCATGAAGAGACCATATTTTCCCTACTGGCTCCCCGTGTGTGCGTTTGAGTGGCGTGGGGTTGGCGCCAAGTGCGGTGTTTTTAGCCGAATTCGATTCGGCATCTGCCGCATCCCATCCCGGCGAAGAGCTCTCGGGTCTGTGCTATGGGACGGTGCAACGCGGTATGAGCGTCTACTGCACGCCGTGTGTATGTTAGAGCATCCAGCCGCAGAGTTGTAAACAGGCAATACCTTCACGCAGGTGGCTGGCATGCAATGTGGCACTGGCACAGGAGGTCGCCACGTTTCCAGCTTATTTTCGGCAGAGATGCATCAACACCGACGCCGTCATTCCAAATGAAGCCCCGAGCAACGCTTTACTACGACATCCTCTCGCCGTATGCGTACATACTCTTGAAGACGCGGGCGCCGCTCGAGGCGAAGCTAGACTTGCGCCCAGTACCCATCTACTTGCCTGGCCTCTTCAAGACCCACAGCGTCGTGGGGCCGATGGCGATTCCTTCGAAGCGCGCCTTCATCTATGCCTCGGTCGTGCGCACGACCAAGAAGCTCGGCATTCCATTCAAGTTTCCGCCGCGGCACCCGTTTCCAGCGACGCCGGCCCTTCGACTGCTCGCGCAGGAGGACGCCGACTTGGCCATGCTCGACAAGGCATTCGACTTTGTCTTTGGTCATGGCCAGGACCCAGACGAGAAGTGGCCCGAGTTCTGCGCAGCGTTGGGACTGCCGATCTCAACGCTCAAGCCAACGGACGCTGCGATCAAGGCCAAGCTCATTGCGAACACGGAGGCCGCTGCGCGACAGGGTGTCTTTGGCGTGCCGACGATCGCGTACAAGGACCAGCTCTTCTTTGGCGCCGACTCGATGGAATGGCTCCTCGAGTTCCTCGACGATCCAAGTATGTTTAATGACCCGGCGTACAAAGCGGCCTGGGCGACGGAGAACCCGTTTGCGCGCAAAAAATAAGGCGGTTGTTTCCACAATCCGATTTTAGTTTCGCGGTGATGCCTTCGCTTGAGATGATAGCGCTTCAATCCTGTACGACAGTAGCAATCTTACGACACACGCTAGCAAACTACATGGATAGCCCGCTCGGCACGACCTCGGAGACAAGGTTGAATGAGCTTGTGGACTTGGCACAATAAGTACTTGGTCTGCTAAGCTGCGAGCCACGTCGGTTGCAAGTCTACCATTGCACAGGCGGTAGAGGTCAGCATGCCCACATACGATGCAGAGTATCGAAGCATGCCGCGTCAGACTCGCGAGAGCTCTCGGCGTCAACCACCACTGCGTCGCCCACTCGAATTTGTTGCGATCTTCCCAACTTCAAGGTATCTTCGAACTTCGATTGACGTTGTATCTTCGAACTTCGATTGACGTTGGGGCGACAGTCAGAGTCCGAACCGCCACGAAGTGCCATGAAGCCCCGCGCGAAGCTGTACTACGACATCATCTCGCCCTTCACACACATCCTCTTGCGAACGAGGGGTCCGCTCGAGGCGAAACTGGACCTGCGCCCCGTGCCCGTCTTCCTCCCCGGGCTCCTGCGCGCGCAAAAGAACGTGGGTCCGGCGGAGATTCCGTCCAAGCGCGCCTTCTCGTATGCGTCCATGGTCTGGAGGTCGGAGAAACTGGGCGTGCGATTCAAGTTTCCGCCGTCGCACCCTTTTTCACCGCTCGCGCCACAGCGCCTTCTGGCCCACGTCGACGCCGACCTGCCCATGCTCGACAAGGCGTTTGCCTTTGTTTTTGCCGACGGACGAGACCCAAACGACGAATGGCCCGCGTTCTGCGAAGCGATTGGACTGCCAGCGTCGACGCCCAAGCCCACGGACGAGGCCGTCAAGGCCAAGCTCGCGAAAAGCACCGAGGATGCTGTTAACGCCGGCGTATTCGGCGTCCCAACCATCGAGTATGAAGGCCGCCTCTTCTTTGGCACGGAATCGGTCGAGATGCTCTTGGATTTCATCGATCGGCCGGGCATGTTTGACGAGCCGGCCTTCCAGGCAGCGCTCAACACAAAGAACCCGCTTCTTCAAAAGTGAGTCATGGGGATGGTTGATAATGCACATGCAAATTTACAATTATGTGCAAACAAGGTCGTTGGCCAGCGCGGGAACGTGGCGACGTCCCTATCCCGCGACCTTTGGCAGTGCCGAGCCACGGAGATGCAGCTTCCACTCTATGCTGCTGCCTATCACACATCCTTCTCCGCCGAGCTGCCTTCGTTTCACTCGGCCAAGAGGCGCCCACCCGTTGCCGCCCAAGCCCTCGCGTCGGTGTCCCGTGGCGAGCGACTATAGCTTCTTCCTATAAAAGCAATGGCGACGTTGGGTGTCAAGTCGCTTGGCGGACAAGGCAGTGGCTTTCCATCGCTGTGGCCGCCGACTGCTGAAAGGTCACACATGAGGCCTTTCGGACCTGTTCGAAATTGCTACCGTGCAACGATTGGCCCAAAGTTCTGGATTGGACCAATCGGTGCGGCGTCGCAAAACTATGCACCAATCATAACGCGCGACAGATCGGGGCATTCGAAAATCACGATTTGCTTTGTCAAAACCGTCGTGCGCTTCCAGCAGCATGCGAAGCGTCAGTGGCCAACTTGCGACCAACGAACGCATGACCAACGAGAAGACGTCGTCGCACATGCACGATGATGACGCGTCCATGGTACGCCCGCTGCGGCCGCCGCTGATGCCCGACTCCAACTTTGTGTTGCGGCCGCTCCGAACCAGCAACCGGGTCGACATGCCACCGTGGCGTCCGCACGAGCAGCGTGCTGAGCCGCTGCCGCGCTTTCAAACCATCTTGCCGTCTGAAAACGACCGGCAACGCGCGAACCCGGCGCCACCGTCCCTCGTCCAAGAAGCCCAAGCGCAGCATCGGCTCTGGAAAGAACGCGAGCAAGAGCTCATGCGGCGGCAACGCCACGCGTTGGGCATGAAAGAGAAGGAGCTCGGTCGATCGCGGCGGTGTGCTGCGCCTCACCGCCTCCAGGAGCTCTTCATGCGACGGCAGCACGAGCTCCTGCTACAGCAGGAGCAACAGAAGCGGATGCAGCGCAACGTCTATCAGCTCTCGTACCATCGCATGCTGGCCGAGGAAGACTTGCAGCGTCTTCAGCACCAAGAACGTCTCCAGCAGCAAGCCAAGGCGCAGCAATTGGAGTCGTCCAAGGTACAGACGTTTGAGCGTGCAGTGCTCCAAGCCCCGCCTCTGGAAGCGGCGCCGGCGCGGCGCGTGTCGGCGTCAACTGTCGACGAGGCCAATGGCGCGAGCTTGCTCTCGTTCCTACTGCCACCCGCGCTACCGCCGCCGCGGAACGGCTGGAATGTCAAGGACGTGACGCTCAACGAGCTTCGACCGCACTTTAACAAGCCGATGGCCGCGGTCGCCCAGGAAATGGGTGTCTGCATCACGCTCATGAAGAAGATCTGCCGCAAGAACGGCCTCTCGCGCTGGCCGCACCGGCGCATCCGGAGCCTCGTGAACCGCATCACGTCCCTGCAGGCAGTCGGCGACACGGTGGTCGAGAAGGTCGAGAAGGCGCGGTTCGTCGCGCACATTGCAAGTCTCCGGCGCGAGCTCTCGGACGTGATCCACAACCCGAACGGGAAGAGCCGCAAGGCGCAAGAGTACGAGCGGCGCAAAGACAGCAGCGCGGGCGACTCGATGAGCGACGACACGACGCTCAGCGACGACGGCAGCAAGCACGCCGAGATGGATTTGAGCTGCTTTGAGGTGCTACGCGATGAAAAGGCGCGCGGGTCCATCTCGTCGCTTCTGTGCGACTAGCGACTCTGATTGTAATTCTTATTGTGGTTGCACACTACGTGTGGCGCGTCTATATAGGAGGAGAGGATGCAGTCGAGAGGCATGTCGTAGTACGCATCGACTTAAGGGCGCGCGCCGTTGATCTCTTCGTGGAAGAGGTCGAGACCGACGAGTAGCGCCGCGTACATGGCGTTGGTTCGCATGACGGGGTGGCGGATGAACGGCGCGCCGGAGAGGAGCGCTGCGACGCCCACATTAGCAAAGTCCTCGGCGCCACGCAGCTGCTCCATCGTATTCTTGATGCCTTGGTACGAAAAGAAGAAGCTACCTACATGAGCCAAGAATATGATGATGCGGCAAGGTCGTACCCGGAGAAGAGCATGCCACAGATGCCAGCCGTGCGCGAGATCGACCGCATGGCCTGTGCGTTGATGCGCCCGTATTGCGTATGGGCCTGGCGCACTGCGTCGACTACAAAAGGTAGTTCCCATGAGCTACGACTCGTCCAGCGCTGGCGACGCACCGCTGCCAAAGGTGAGGCCGGTCGAGAGGCCGACGAGGCCGCCAAAGACGAGCTTGTGGCGCAGCGTCGTATAGTCAAAGGGCTTGGCCGGCGGAGCGGCAGCAGCGTCCGCCGTCTTCTTTGCGGGCGCCGCGCTCTCTTCGTACGACGACCAACTGCGACCCATGTCTGTCTTCGAATGGCATTCGCGGCCTTTCTAGACGCACCCGTAATCGTGTATTCCTTGCCGACATACAGTTTTCAGTATTGCGTAAACCGGCACTTGTACGATCGTTAGTTAACATGTTTTTTAATTCATCGTCACGCCACGCCGCAGATCGTTGCGGCAACGCACGAGCCCACAAGCCAGCCCCTGTGAAACACTTCGTTTCGCGTTGTCTTCATCTTCGGGCCTGATAGCGCGGAGGCTAATTCCTACCAGCACTGCTGGACTTGGTCGATTCCAGACTCTAAGATCTACTCGGCGACATCATGCTCGTACCAGGGAGGTAGAGCTACAAGTATCAAGATTTTGAAGAACAGAGAATGCATTTGGATGAGCGCGTCCGAGGTCAGCGGCTCTTAGTTGCTCATGTACTTCTTGTTGTCCAAGAAGCCTTGGATGGAGGCCTTCCCGAGCGGGCTCGTCTTGCAGTACGCTTGGAGGCGCTTCATCATGGGTGTGTCAATCTCCTACACATGACCATGCGCTTCATTGCCTGCAAGAAAACATGGCAGCAAACGAACCGGCGGTACGGCATCCTTGCCCGAGATAAAGTTGAAAATGTCGATCGTCTCGCGGTTCAAGATGTCTTCGTACTGACGGAGCTCGTCGGCGGTCAGCGACATGACGTTCTCGCTCGCCCAGCGGCCAAGAAGCAAGTCCACTTCCAGCCTAACGCTAGGTCAGCGGGCAGGTATGTGATTTTGGGCGAGTACCAGCCGCGCTGCTTGCTGCGGTAGATGACGCGCTTGCGGTTGGCCTTGTCGGCGTCAATGGCCTCTTCGCCTTGGCTAGTGCACGTGCATGAGTACGACACGCCTGCTAGCTGTCTCGGCCACGCAGCGTACCTCGCATCCGGGTACTCGGCCTTGATGGCAAAGTGGTCCTTGCGCATCTGCTCATTGCGCACCTGCGCGCGAAGCTCCTGCGCCTCCGTGATGCTGAGCGGCGGGAGGTTGGCGTGGAACGAGGAGTGTTCCGTCGAGAAGGCGCGGGCGGCCATGCGCGGCGCGGCGCGAGCGTAGAGGATCGAGGCGCGTGCGAGCATGATGGTTTCTGAAGGTCTGCGAAGTTCACCGGTTGGACTTCGCCACTGGCCGCGCTCCTCGGCTCTGGATTGGCCAAAATGATTTGCGGCATTGGATTGGTCGAAATCCCACACACCAAAACGATGACCAAGTCGCCGCGACGCATGACCAAGGCCTTTGGCCACATGATGGCTACGTGCCCCATGGACGTACGTTGTCGCGATGGAGGCAATGGACATGGCGATGCTAGTGGTAATCGTAGGTCCAAGCCTATGGCGCCTGCGTGGCCAAGATCGAAGGCGGTGTCAACCGTGACGCGTGTGCCAAGGAGTTTGCCAAGCTCAAGCTCTGCTTCGAGCATGCGGTAGGCGTGGAGCTGCAAAAGCAGTGCTATGATGTTTCGCATCTGTACACGTGTAGGTCAAGACCGCCAAGTAGATATCCAGCAGCGATGTTCGCAGCTGAAAAGACGCAAGACACGACGACGCCATGGACGGTTTTGGATAATCTTGCAACGAGCTCGAGTCTCGAGTGTAGTTTGTTATTGCTTCGCATCGTTTGCTACTCCTCCCGACGCTGTAAAAGCTCACTTCAACCACAGGAGCGACAGGGCGCGAGCATAAAGCCTTTGCACGCGCTCGCTTTTCCCACACTTGGAGAACGAGATGGAGACGGCATTTGCCAACGAGAGCTCTAGTCCAGCAGCATGCTCAACAGCATTCCCCACTACGCACACCACCACGCCTACGCACCTCTTTTGGCGGCGCCGTCGCGCCCGACGATGGCGATGGTCGTGGTTCGCATGGCGCATGGCAACGATCCACTTGCTCTCGACCGTCGCTTCGCCGCGCTGGAGGCCGGTCTGAGTCGCGTCGAGGTCCAGCTGAGCGCTGCCAGCGCACTGCAGTCGGTGCAAATGCAAGCACAAATCGCCCGTGTGCACAACACCCACTGCGCGATGGGCGATGCGCTTCTGCCGGTGCCCAAGACCGAGGCAGGCCATGCGCGCCCCGTGTTTGTAGCAAGTAGCGTCGCGGGCCCGCTGCCTCGTCCAGTGGGGAGCACACCGCGTCAGTTTCCAACGACGCGCACGCAGCTTTTGGATCTCTCGCTCCGAGACCTCAAGAAGCTTGCGTGGTTTTACAGCTCCAGCTTTGGCGTCCACGACCCAAGCGCGTCCCGGCACGAGATCATGCTCGGCTTTCTGAACTTTGTGCAGCTCTCTTAATCTAATTCCTCAATCGAAACAACACACGTTTATAACAACATGGGTGTCCGGTCGTGGCGACGAGCATATCGCTGACCAGATTGATACACGACACGCTGCTTCAGCAATAGCCATGGCACGCGAATTTTTGTATCGAGGTATGGCGTAGGCTCTCGACAACATACTATACGTACACCACATTTCTATCGACTCGATCTCTGCAGTCCAAGCGTTGAAGTGCTTGGACCTAGAGAGCTAGAGAGCGCTACTGCACGTATGAACCTTGGTTTGATTGTCGATGCCACCAGTGGAGAGTATATCCTGTTGGTCTACACTGTAACCGCGCTTGATGTAGATAAAAGAATATGAATGTAGTTTCTCGGATGCCTTGGTGGCTACAGCAGTACAAGGCAGCGATGGTCGAGCTCGAGGCGGTTAAGATAACGGTGCATTAGCTGGGCGGCGCGATCGCGTAGAGAAGAACGTTGGTGACCACCAAGATCGCAATGACACCATAGTACCAGCACACCTACGACGCCACCAAATGATGCATCTCTCTATCTGGTGGAGCTCCCTACCTTTTTGCGCTGGGCGTTAACGTACGCGGCCTTCTCTGCTTGGATGCGCATCTCGTCGGCGCCGGCCTCGACATCGCGGTTGAGGTTGTCGAGCATCGGGTTCTGAATCTGAACTTCGTTGTGGATGTCGCGGGCGTGCGCGTGCAGCGACCGGGCGCCCGCATAGACGACGTCGAGGTCAGCCTCTTGGTGCTCCAGGTCGTACCGGCGGTATGCTGTTGTTGTCGTCGTCGTCGATGCCATGTTCAGCGCTGAAATATTTTTCTCGTCGCTTATGAGACACCACGCGTGTGACACAATATGCGTTAAAGAGTATGGACACACCTTTTGGCACGTTAAACTACACTCGATGGGTTTAGCGCGGACGCAAAAGAGTAAAACACCGATAAACCTGCTGCTCGGGTCCCGCCAAATCGGAATGTAGGTCTGAGGTGTCTACCATCGTCGCAGCGCTCTCCGCTCTGGCCTGGAGTGCATTGTGAACCCACGCTGAGGTCGCTGCAAGGGCTATCAAGGCCATTGGTGCAACAAATCAATCGTGAAAAAGCCTGGCTGTCTCGACGTAGCGCAACAGATCTTGCAAGGGTACACTTCTATCTCGACGGATCCGACGTGATGATGATGGCACAACGCATGCATCGACTTCACCAGACGCACCTCCGGTGCGACTAGTCTGAAGGTGAATCTAGTGCCATAGAGTGCCATAGGTGTGGCAAGCATATTTGCGCTTGTGGTACTCTGCTTTCTACTCCAAAAGGTCTTAAAATGCCCGGAAAGTATCATATTCAAGCATCATATTTGCATCGTGAAGACATGTCTTGAGACGGAATCAGCACACAAGACAACGAGGCCAAGAAGCATGTCCGCGAACTTGGCTGGAGAGCTTTCGTATCATATCTTTACAAGGTGCCATGATGTACTAGTAGATGAAGACGACAAGAGTGGTGATGGAGGTGCATTGGAGGTAGTATATAGGAAGGATCGATCTGTCAGACGCTAGGATCGTGCCGTTGACGTCGTTTACAGCGGCCTACGATTGTCATGAGCGCGGGCGAAGCTTTCTCCAGCGTCGTACACTGCGTATAAGACGATGAGGATCACGATCAGGATCGCAATAATACCATAGTACCAGCACATCTACACCCGAGGCGCCATGAAGCCTCGAACACAGGTGACTCGATGTACCTTCTTCTTTTGGGCGTTGATAAGCGCGGCCTTCTCGGCCTGGAAGCGCAGCTCGGCCGCGCCCGCGTCGACGTCGTCGCCAAGGTTGTCGATGAGGTGGTTCTGCGAGATGACTTCGCCGTTGATGGCCTTGGCATGGTTGTTGAGATGGCGTGCGCCGACGAGGACCTCATCAAGGTCGGCCTCCTGCTGGTCGCGGTTGTAGCGCTGCTGCTGCTGGAAGCCGTTCATGCTGTGCCAGGAAAGACCGAATTGGTTGCCCACATCGGAACTGACGATTTATTGTCAAATTCGATATTTACGCCAAATATTTGACTATTAATTGCGACAGGTATCGAGTTTAAGAAGGTTATATACACTAAAAACAAGTCATTTGCTAGCCGATCGTCCTGGCGCTAGCAATATATGCATATATACAGGTTACGGGATAAGAATGCTTGCACTTGGGATCCACCTCGTCCTTAGCTCGAGTGCCATGCCACAGCGAGTGCACAATATATCCTACGAAGGCGATATAGCATGCATCTCTATGGTAGCCATATCTATAGCAGGCGAGTGCGTCCTCTGTTGTCGGGCAAAGCTTCAAGATACGGCGTCTAAGTGCACGCAATTATGCGCGGTCTGTGGACCGACCTGTCAAGCTTGGACCACTCGCCGGAAATACACCACAAGCTCGTGCGTTGCTATACTACATTATAGCGTAGGAAGGCGCAGGCATTGTGCGGTTGATTGCGCGACGAGAGCGTGGCGGCGTTGAACCTTACATTGCAGTGTTAAGTTGCGTGATTTTCGCCACTTGTTTCATGCCATCGGTCAGTTCGGTCTTGAAGAATGTATGTGACACCGTGCAAAAGCGATTGAAGGCCCTCATGCCGAGCCCGAAGGCGACCGTCGAAGCTGTCTTCGACGACCTCGCGCTCTCTAACCCGTCGTTCCCGCTCGAGTCGGACGCGGTCTCGGTGCTCACGTCGCCCGATGCATTCTACCAGCAGCTGCTCACAAACATCCGCGCAGCGCAGCGCCGCATCAGCCTCTCGTCGCTCTACATTGGCACGGACGAGCTCAGCCGCGCGCTCGTCGCAACGCTGCAAGAAGCCGTGGCTGCCAACCCATGCCTCGAAGTGTCCATCGTGCTCGACTACTCGCGTGGGCAGCGTGGCGGCAACACGGCCAAGAGCTCCGTGGCCGTCCTCACACCGCTCCTCGAAGCGCATCCTGGCAACGTTCGCTTGCACTTGTACCGCGTACCGCAGCTCGAGCACTGGGCAGCCAAGCGTCTGCCACCGCCGTTCGACGAGACCATGGGCGTGAGCCACTCCAAGGTCTACCTCTGCGACGACACGCTCATCATGAGTGGTGCCAACTTGAGCGGCGATTACTTTACGCAGCGCCAAGACCGGTACGTGCAGATTGACTCCAAGCACCTCGCGGCCTTCTACCACACCTTTGTCGAGGTATGCTCTTTGCTTGCCACCGCTCTCGTCTCGTATCCTCTTAGGTCATGGCCGAGCACGCGCATGGTGTGTCCATGAGCGGTGGCGTTCCGCTTGTCAACGCCCCCATGGGGTCGCCAGCCGACTTTGCCAACGCGCTGAGCGACTTGCAGCAGTACCCGTCGGTGACCGAGCCGTCGAACGCGACGACGTGGGCGATGCCAACGATCCAATTCTCGCCGCTGCGCATCGTCCAGGACCAGCACACGCTGTCGCGTCTCGTGGGCCTTTTGCCCGAGCACGCGTCCTTGGACATTGCGTCGGGGTACCTCAACTTCCCGCCCTTCTTGACGGAGGCGCTCGTCGACCGCGGCGTGCCACTCGATGTGCTCACGGCGGCGCCGATGGCCAACGGCTTCTTCAACGGCAACGGCATCAAGGGCGCGCTTCCGATGGCCTACTCGCTCATCGAAGCCGGTTTCTACGACCGCTTTGGGCCCGAGTTGCTCACGCTGCGCGAGTACAACCGAAGCGATTGGACGTTCCACGGCAAAGGACTGTGGGTCCATGACCGCAACGGCGCGGTGCCGCTCACGATCGTCGGGAGCTCCAACTTTGGCCAGCGCTCGTACGGCCGGGACCTCGAGTCGCAGGTACGCGTGTCGATCGACCACGTTCTTTCCGTACCGGCTCGTCACTAGGTGTACTTGTTTACTACCGACCCTGCGCTCCAAACGACGTTCCAAGGCGAGTACGAGCAGCTGCGGACGCACAGCGAAACCGTGAATGACGCGCTCTGGAAGCGCCCGGACCGACAGCTCCACGGCCTCTTCTCGTGGAAGTATGGCCACTGGATACGGCCGGCGGCCCGCGCCGTCATCTCCTTCTTGTAGTGGTACTGTAGACGACCAATACAACATGTAGCTTGGACTTCCGCGTCGGGTTGCAGCTGTCTTTGACGCCGCAATCTGTGCTTGTCGCAGAGTGTTGCTATTCGTATCAAGTGGCAGCTCCCCTTCGTTCCCCAAGACGGACGTCGCTGTGCGCTGACTTGTCGGTACATCTCGATCCTGTCGACGCCGGGTACACCGATTAGGCGCCCCGGCGTGGCTCAACTCTACCCCCAAACCAGCCCCCAAACAGGCGAGCAATGGACAAACGTGACAGTGCCATGGGTGAATGTGGACACCTTGCCTGTCGACGACCATGGCAATAATGTACTGGAGGCCACTGCTGGAGACGACACATTGCTGCCTCGGATCACGGACGACTCACCCATCGTTGTAGTATCGCACTAGACATCGTCTTGGGGCGTCCCGACCAGTGGTTCGTGAGGTGCGTCGCGAGGTAGGCGTCGACCTTGGGCGCCGTCTCGACGTTCTTGCCGCGCGACTCGAACCCAAATGCAACTAAGACGAGTAGCGCAACGACGAGGACGCCGGCGCACACCCACAGGATCGTCTTACTCGACCAGTTGTTCTCATGCATCATGGGTACAATGTACGGGCCGGCGGTGGCGCCAATGCGTCTGAACGCCGAGGGATACGACGCGCCCATCGCTCGGATTGGCGTCGGGTAGTTCTCGGGCGTGTACGCATACAGCGAGCCCCCCGCACCGAGCATGAACCACGACATGAAGGCGCCTGTGATCATGAGGTTTGTCTGTGTGTTCTTGACGTAGCCAAAGGCGAGCGCCGAGACAACCGACCCGATGAGGTAGAAGACGAGCGTCACCTTGCGGCCAAGGATCTCGACGAGGTAGGCCGCCGAGAGGTAGCACGCGAGTTGCCAGAAGGTGAAAAACATCGACATGTCGAGTTGTTGAGGCTGTAGCCGCCTTTTTTTCTTCCCACGGAGGTCGGGCAGCCAAATGTACACTGCGTAGTACGAGAAGGAGAGACAGCACCAGACCGTCCAGAGCACGAGTGTGCGCGAGAGGAACTCGCCGCGGAACATGAGGGCGATGCGCTCGATCGGCTTGAGACTGCTGCAGTCGTACGTGTCCATCCCGGGTGTCAACACGGCCGGCTTGACCGCGTCCTTGTCGTAGATGACGCCGTGGGCCGCCTCGATCTTGGCCACGATTGCCTCGGCTTCGTCCATGCGCCCGACGCTCGCGAGCCACTTGGGCGACTCGGAAATGAGGTACCGGATCGCAATCGCGTAGACGGCCGGGAGCGCCGACAAGTAAAAGACCACGCGCCACGAGACGTGCTTGGTCAACTCAAACGCAAGGAGCACGGCGATCATGGCGCCAATCGACCAGAACGACTCGAGGAGTACGATGATGCGGCCGCGGACCGGCGCCGGTGCGAGTTCCTGCACGAGCGTCGCGGCCACCGGGAGCTCGCCGCCCATGCCGATACCGGCAATGAAGCGGAAGGCGAGCAAGACTCCGTAGACGTCGGCGACGCTCATCTATGGGCTTGGGGTTATTGTCGGCCAATTGGCCCAAGAAGATGCCACCGACGAGCGAGCCGGCAGAGGCCGCCGAGCCGAGGAGGCCAAGCTCGTGCGCGGTGAGCTTGGAGCCGTCGCTGTTGCGCACGTCGGTCTTCCGGCCTTTCGAGCCGAGGTACGTGAAGAGGACCATCGAGTCCATCGCCCAGGCAATGCCGGACTTGAGGACGAGGCCTCAGTAGTAGCCCGAGACGCCGAGGAGGCCCGTCAGCGGGAGGCTATCGAGGCGGTGCGAGATCGCTTGCACGGGCGACGCCATGGTGCTGGACGGCAAACGCAAAAATGAGGCGCCGGTCGATCGCTTCACTGATCTCTCCGAGGTTGGATCGTAGTATGTATTTTGAGAGTTTTGCTGTGTGTTATCAAGGTAGATTCGGATGAGTCATCCAATCCAGTGCGAGCAGGTATGCAATGTGAGAGGTTTTTCCAGGGTAGGGTACTTATGGCGCCACTCGCCGCCACCTCTCTCACCACCTCGGCCCGCGTGCAATGAGCCAACGCAAAGTGAAGCGCGCCAGTTGACTCACTGGCGCGCACCGAGGCAATCTCGCGCTGCTCACACCGAGTGACGCAACAGGTCGCGTGGTTGAAGCTGCCGAGCGCCGAGATACTCGAGCGACTGCGACACGGAGGTGCAGCTCCTGCTTGACCAAGCCTCGAGCTGCATTCTAGTAGCTATCTTTCGAGGTGAACTCGCATGTGAGCTATCTTGGCCAACCCTTCTGGTTGATTTCTCGTCGCAAGAGAGGCTTCGAAACAACGTGCTATCATCGCGATGCGCTCACTCCCCCAAGTAGGTTTTCTGCCCACCGCTGGATCGCGCTGCTGACCTCAGAGCTGAGCGTAGCACCAAGTTCTAGCCCTTGGCTCGTGTGCGGATGTCGTTGCGTCGGATGAGGCTCCAGAACAAGAACGTTGTGACTCCTGCGCGGGGTCCTCCTCAGCGTGCCGGCCTCAAGCGTCTCGAATGACCAGTGATGTGCTTTCGCTTGATCAGGATAGGTGATCCGAGTCGAGCAAACGCTATCCTGGATAGCGCTTCTCGCGCAAGAAATCCATTGAAAACAAAAGACGCGACTTCGTTATAGATAGAGACAGGGCGACTAGTACTCACGCACCGGCGTCTGGACGCCTTCGCCGCGGCGTTCCTTCAAGTACGCTTCGACGATCGGCGCCGACTCGACGTTCTGGCCGCGCGACTCGAAGCCAAAGACGAGGAGCACGATGGACGCGACAAGGAGGCAGCTCGCGCACACCCACATGATCGACTTGCTCGACCAGTCGTTCTCAATCATGATGGGCACGATGTACGGGCCGGCAATCGACCCAATGCGGCAGACGGCCACGGGGTACGAGGCGCCCATGGCGCGGATCGGCGTCGGGTAGTTCTCGGGCGTGTACGCATACAGCGAGCCCCACGCGCCGAGCATGAACCATGACATGAAGGCGCCCGTGATCATGAGGTTGGTCTGCGTGTTCTCCACGTAGCCAAAGGCCATGGCCGCGATGAACGACCCGACGAGGAAGATGGCCAGCGTCTTCTTGCGACCAATGATCTCGACGAGGTAGGCCGCCGAAATGTAGCCGGGCAGCTGCCAGAAAATGATGAAAATCATCGTGCCCGTCGAGCCGTTGAGGTTGAAGCCACCGGGTTCCTTGGAGCGCAGCGTGGGCAGCCAGACGTAAATGGCGTAGTACGAGAACGCGAGGCAGATCCAGACGACCCAGAGCACGAGCGTGCGCGAGAGAAACTCGCCGCGGAACATGAGCCCAACGCGCTCGAGCTGCGTGAGCCCGCGCACGTCCATACCAGAGACCGGCTCGTCCGATGCGACCTTGGCCGCTTCCCCTTCCTTGTCGTACGTCACACCGTGCGCGCGCTCGATCTTGGCCACGATCGCCTCGGCTTCGTCCATGCGGCCGACGTTGGCGAGCCACTTGGGCGACTCGGGAATCATGATCCGGATCGCAATCGCGTAGACGGCCGGGACCGCCGAGAGGTAGAACACCGACCGCCACGAGACGACCTTGATGAGCTCGAACGCCATGAGGACAGCGCCCATCGAGCCGATCGACCAGAAGGATTCGAGGAGCACGATGATGCGGCCGCGGACCGGCGCCGGCGTGAGCTCCTGCACGAGCGACGACGCGACGGGCAGTTCGCCGCCGAGGCCGATGCCGGCGAGGAAGCGGAACGAGAGGAGCATGCCGTAGCTGTCGGCCGCACCGCAGATGAGCGTCGCGGTCATGAAGAAGAGCAGCGTCATCATAAACATGGGCTTGCGGCCAAAGACATCGGCGAGCTGGCCGAAGAGGATCGCACCAAAGAACGAGCCGGCAAACGAGGCCGACCCGAGGAGCCCGAGCTGGTGGCCGTTGAGCGGCGTCATGATCTTGGTCTCGAGGTCGTAGTTGACGATGGATTTCTGCCAGCCTTTTGCGCCGAGGTACGTAAAGAGGAACGTGTCCAGCGAGTCCATGCCCCAGCCGACGCCCGTCTTGAGGAGGAGGCCCCAGTAGTAGCCCGAGATGCCGAGGAGGCCCGTCAGCGGGAGGCTGTCGAGGCGCTTGGCGATGGCGGCGACGTTGCTTGCGGCAGCCATGGGGACTTGACGGCGCAAGTGAAAGTGACCAAGAGGCGCCAACCCACGAACCGTCGTCGGCGCGTGCCCACTTTGCATACAAAGATTCACTTTGCACTTGGTATTTGTATTGCGTTGAACACCACTTTGAAATAGCTTGCGGTTTGTATGTAGTAAGATGCATACTAGTGGCTCAGCAAAGCGTCCACTTGTGGTTGGCCATAAACTGACTCAGCGAAAAAAGCCGCCGCCGCCGTGTCGCATGCAGAGGAGAGAGTCATCCCTTTCCTCGTATCGAAGCATGCTGCAGGTTATCATGTTCAAGAGGTTTGAGAGACCAGGGATGTATGCGTAACGGTGTGACTCATGAACAATATGCTGCAGGATATGCATTGTGAGAGGTGCCATACCTGCTTTGAGTGACCCAGGTATGGCCGCGAACGCCAGCGCAGCCTTGTCTCTACGCGCCGTCGTCACGGTGCCTGGACCATACAAAGCCAAGACGTTCGACGCACGGGGCGAATGGATGACTCACCGCCTGGCCTTCGACTGGGTGCAGTAACGTTAGGTTACGTCGAAAAGTTTAGCGCCAAAAAACATCGAGGCTTCAGACACCGATCATTTTGGCACCAATTACACTGTACTAGTACTGCATTAGGGCAGCGCGGCTTCAAGTTGGGTGACGACGGTGTGCCAATGGCGCTGCCACGCCGGCGGGACGTCGTCGGCTTTGGTCGCGCGGGCATAGTTGCGTGCAATGTGGAGGCCGGCGTCGAGGTCGTTGCGCAGGAGCGGGTGCAAGTTGGCAAAGCTGCCCATGGTGCGGCTCGCGCTTACATAGTCGCGGCGCCGCAAGAATGCGAGCACGACAAATGCGATGCTGCTCGAAAGCCAGAGCTCCGATTTGGAGGCGCTGCGGTTGGCCGCCAGCACTTGTGGCAGCACCGACGGTAGCTCCATCCACGCCTCAAAGCGCAGCAGCACCAACTGTGTCTCGACGAGCGACGACGGCGCGAGTCTCAACGCAGCGAGCTCGTCCCACAGCTTTGCGTGAACCGATGCATACGGCGACAAGAGCCCGAGGACGAGCCGACCCATTGGCAGAGCGCGCTGCAGGGCCTCGACGTCATCTTGGCGCAAGCTCGCATACGCGACCGCGTCACTCTGAAGCAGCGCGGTAAGCGCCGGCACTGTCCACCCGGCGCGCGCATAGAGCTCTTGCCAGAGCGGGGCCATGCCGTCCTCTTCTTGATCATCATCGAGCAGCGTCGTCTCGGCAAGACCGAGGCGGGCGACGATGGCAGCGTCGCGAGCAGCGGCCCAGGACCGGGCCGACGTGACATGGTGGTAGGCTTGCCACTGCTGCAGCACCCGCGCGAGAGCTTCGTTGGCTCTTGGTGTCTCGGGGAGGACGTGGCAAGCATGGGCAAAGAGGGGACCAACGTCGACCATGACGTCGGCTTCGTGCGTGGCGTAGCCTTCGTCGTCGCAGACGCCGCGCAAGGTCGATACGATCGACGCCGCTGCTTGCATCGCCGACAAGTCGACCGAGCGGAGCTTGGCCGGCGGCACATTGGCCGTGAGCACGCACAAGAGGTCGTGGGCGCGCGGCGAGTCCTTGACGCGTGCTTGGACGTGCTCGAGCCACTTGGCTTCCGTTGGCGCCGAGGCATGGAGCGGGAGAGACTTGAAGCCGGGTAGACGCACGCGTGCGACCCACTGCGCATCTCTCGTCTCGGCGTGGTGCGGCCACTTGGATTGGCAGTAGGCGGCCAGCGCGTCGAGAGACAGGTCGTGGAGCGCCGCGTCGATGCTGTTGGTCCAGACGGCGTCTGCGTCGAGCCCAAGGCGGGACAGGAGCGTCAACACAACATGGCACTGCGCCAAGGACAGCGGCGCGTTGAGCCAGCGCGTCACCGGCAGCGCATGATGATCGCGCAGCGGAAACACGACGTCGATGGAGATGTCCCACGCACTCAAGAGCGCGGTGAGCACCACGAACGGAGCTTGCGCGTCGAGGAGTGCGAGGCCCTTTTGCTTGTCCGGCCGCGCACTTAGGAGTGCATACGTGTCTTCGAGAATCTCAACGCGCTTCTTATGCGGCACGATCGGCGCCACGTCCGACGGCGTCGCAAACACGTGCCCAAAGAGCGAGAGCGAGTAGGTCGGGTCCAGGAGCAAGTGCAGAAACGTGAGCACGTGGTCGGTCGAAAGACCTGATGCGAACGGCACACACGACTCGTACGCGAGCGCAACGTCGGCCTTGGACTTGGTCAGCACCGTGTCGAGGTAGATCAAGACGACGCTGCTTGTGGCGATGCCATGCACGCGCTTGAGCATGCTCGTGAGCAGCCGAATGTTTTGGCCCGTGAGGATCGGCAGCATCGCATGCACCGCCGAGGTTGCCTGCGCCTTCACATCGAGACTCTCGAGGCACGCAAACGCTTTAAAGTCGACGGTGACGCGGAGCTTTCGGAGCTCTTTCGCACACGCGATGAGAAGCTTGACGCGCTCGATGGGCAACGGCAGCGACAGCGTCGGCTCCTGTTGCCACGCGAGCGACACGAGACGCCACACAAACTCGAGCGCGACCAGGTCGTTGGCGTCGACCTGGGCGTACGTGTGCTTGAGGAGGCGCTGGACGAGGGCCGACGGCTCTGTCAACGCAAACGAAAGCACGGTCGTCGTTTGATCGCGGAACGGCAGGGGCAGGTGCACCTTCTTGAGCTCGACCTCGCGCACGTCGGACGAGACCAAGAGGGCTTCGAGAAACGATGTGTTGAGCCGCCAGTGGTCCATGCCGAAAGCGTCGGCCACCATGTAGGCGTCGGTGAGCAGGGCAGGATCTGACCGCGCGACGGCCGAGAGCATTTTGTACCGATACGGCTCGTCGGCGTCGAAGCGGGCTCGGTCGATGGCCTCGACGGCTGCGAGCCGGTCGAGCGTGGCTTCGTGCACGGACGCGGCTTCGAGGGTCGCAAACGCGTCAGCAAAGACAGTGCCTTGGAGCGACGACGACGCCAAGGTCGCAATCCACGCTTGCGTCTCGCGATCCGTGGCAGCGCGCTCAAAGCGCGCGAGCCAGAGACCGTGGCGTGTTTCGGGCGACACGTCGGCCAAGTACGCCAAGGCGAGCGACGCGTCGTCATGAAGCGACAAGGCGTCGAGGCTCGCGCGCGCCACGTTCGTTTTGGCCAACGTCGACGTCTCGTCAAAGGCGGCTTCGAGCGAGAGCGCGACTTGACACGCGCGCAGCACCGCATCGGGCTGATCGACGACGATCTCTCTGTAGACGCTGAGCTGGTCGAGTAGCCACGTGTGCTCGGACACGTGCCGCTCGTCGGCAAAACCTTTTCGATCGTGGTGCGAGAGGTCGAGGAGCGTCGCCGCGCGGTCCAAGGCCGCGAGCTTGGTCTGCCACCCGAGGAGCACCGACCAGAGCGTCGGATCCGTGACGTGGACGAGCGCTTTCGACGCCAGATGGGCCCGCGCCGCCCAATCGACGCAGCTGCCGCAACTCACCACGTCCAAAAGAAGCGAGAACGCCATGGAAAGGTCGGCGTCGGCGGTCGGCAGCGCCTCCAGCAGGCGCGCCGCCTCGTGCATCGCCGAGTTAAAGTCGCGGGTCGAGAGCAGTGCATAGGTTGCCCACACGCGGATTTGCGACACGTGCGCCTGGAGATCGAGCCAGCGCACAAGGTCGTCGACGTGCGTCGCGGCGCCGCTGTCCGGGTACAGGCTCAAGAGCCGCTGGACGCGCGCCAAGCGATCCAGAGGCGATTCGCAGAGGAGGTCGCGCGGTGCAATCGACACGTGTCCCCAGGTTTCCATCGCGTCGGCGGCGTCCAAGAGCCCTTGAAGCGCGTTGGCCGCGGGCGAGTCAACCCACGAGAGGAGTGTGCGCGCCGGCAGCAGGCTTGGCGAACCCGCGCCGTTGGCTCGCTGCACATGCTCGGTCGCAGCGGCCACGATCATCGCAGATGCATCGACAGGCAAGAGCGCGCGCAGTGACGGCGCCGCGTCAGCCATCGGCTGGCTCAAAAGTGCTCCCAACACGAGACGCGTCGCGTCGTCAGGCGACAGAATGGGAAAGACGAGGTCCACCAGGTCCACGGCGTCCTTGACGACCGTCGCGGGATCGTTGGCACACGCACCGAGGTGCTGGAGCGTGGCGGTGGCAAAAGCCACGTCCTGCGCGCGCGTCTGAAGCTCTTGGGGACTGTAGTGGAGGCCGTACGCTGCGCAGCGCTCCATGCCATCCATGAGGGCCTGCAGCTCATCGTCTCAGCCAATATTGGTCAAGACTCAACCTGCTAATCGACGTATGGACCTGTGCCATGAGCTCGGCCACGAGTGCGTCGCCAGAAGGGGCGTGCGCCGGCAACGACTCAAAGATGGTCCACGCCACTTCGATAAACTCGGTCGGCGCGTCACGTCCGGCAAGGGTGAAGCCAAAGCAGGCGGCGAGCGCTGTCTCGAGCAGCAAACTGTCCGTCTTGAGAATGCGGTTGGCGCGACGGGGGCAGCTGAGCTGGACCATTTCGGCCACGTACTTGAAGTGCGCGATCTCGTCCATCGAGAGACAGGCTACAAACTTGGCGAGTTGGGCTTCGGAAAAGAGCCCGCGGCGCACGACGTCGGCGGCGATCTCGAGCGGCTGCGACACGAGCGGCGCTAGCTTCTCCGCATCCGACAGCGTGAGCCAATGGGTGAGCGTCCACTCGAGAGGCACGTCGACGCAGCAGTCGTAGACGTACGCGGCAAAGGTCGATACGTGGCCTTGCAAGACGGCCACGTCATCGCGGGCTATACAGCATCGCACACGATAGCACCACGTCGTTTCCATTTATGATGACGGTACCAGGGCCCTCGCCAAGGCAGAGCAGAGCAAGGTCGAGAAGCGCCTTGGCGCTCTCGAGCTGGCCAAACTGCGTCTCGATGGCCACCGCCCGGTCCGAGAACCAAGCAGCGATCGCGATCGCTTGTGTCGCAAGCGGCTCGACATGCGCCGTCCACTCGTCTTCATCCATGGGCACGCCCGGGATCGGTCGCAAGGGTGCCATGCCTACCCCGAATAATCATGAGACGACATTTCGCACAAGACGGCGGTCTACCATGCTGCCACGTATAGTACGCGTCGACGCCGTGCGGCGGGACACTTGGCAAAAGGTGCGCGTACTCGGCCGGGTCTAGCGTCAGCGGGAGCGCGCTCAGCAGCGTCAATCGGTCGGGCAAAAGCTCGAAGCCGTACCGCTCCAAGAGCAGCCCAAGGGCGGCCACGCGACCGTCTTTGGCAATCGCGAGCGCGGTCTCGAACATGGTCGCGTCCAGAAAGGCCTCGAGGAGCGACGGATGAAAGAACGGCGCCAGCGACTCGTTCGCCAAGAGCTCGTCGAGGGGCATCGCGGGCGTCGCCGCCGTCTCGACGTGGACGAGCGCGAGGTACGTTTCGAGGAGATCGAGGAGCCGACCGAGCACGCCAAAGGTCGGGTCGAGACGCAAGCCAAAGCGCCAGAGCGCCGCGCAGTCCGCCGCCGATGCCTCGAGCGTCGACGCGACATACTGCAGCACCCACGCACTGTCCGAGATGTGCGCCAGGTGGGCTTCGATGCGGCGCGCGACGTTGGGCTCGGCGGCCGCGGCGGCCTTGTGCACGACGTCGCGGTCCAGCGTGTCATGCTTCATCGCCAGCGCCAAGGCCTCGTCGAAACAACCGAGCGCGACGCGGCGCTGGTACGCGACCTCGAGCGGCAGCTCGGCGAACGAGGCCAAGAGCACCTCACCCGACGCATTGCGCGACGCGTAGTAGAACCCGCTGGCATCGCGGGGCGCAACGGCCACGCCCATGACGCGCACCGGTGACGCAGTGACCACCACGTGGGTCGTCTCCAAGGCCGTCGACTCGACGTTGAGCGAGCACGCGTGCAGCGACCCGTCACTTTGGGCAAGCACGAGGTGCGAGTCGAACCAGCACATGCTGCGCGTTGGCGTCTCGGCCACGTGCGCCCATGGAATCAGAACCGCGCTCGTGTCGACCTAGCACAGCGCGGTGAGTTGGAGGATTCTGGATGGCGAGGATCGCACGAGACGAAGGGAGACGCGGCCGGCGCGGTCGGTGAGCGCGACGGTCTGCCCGTTTGGCGACAGCGCAATCGCCGTGATATGACCTTGCGTTACGGTCTCGGACGCGGTCGGGAGCCCGAGAAGCGCCTTGGCCGAGCTCCAGAGCCCGGATGGCATGCTCTCGAGCTCGAGTTGCGCGACCGACGCGTCGTCATCGAGGACCGTCGTGAAGTCCTGCAGCTCGGCGCTGGGCTCGCCGTCGAGAGACAGCTTCCAGAGACTGAGGCTGGACGCGTGGGCCATGTGGGCGCTCGCACTGCGGACGCCCCCGGCGAGCACAAAGAGACCGGCGGGAACGTCCAGCGCGCAGCTCGTGAGCGTCGGGTGCCACTGCGTCACATTGGCGACCTCGGTGCAATGTTCGACGTTGTTCTGGATGCGAAGATGCAAAAGATGACCGTTGGCGCAGACGACGAGAAGCACAAACTCAAAGAGATGCGGGCCCACGACCCGCGACCGTAGGACGAACGTGCGCCATGGCGTCGATGGCATGTCGACGACTCGGGACATGAGCGCGCGCCCCTCGTAGTAGACTGAGACGCAGCTCGGGTTGAGCCACCCGACGACCGTTGCGCCATCGGCGCTCATGGCGACGGTCGATGGCAGGAACGGCAGCGACTTGATCTCGCCAGCGTCGCAGAGGTGCGCGCCCGAGGGCAGCCCGAGGACAAACGATGTCCCATGCGCCGACGCATAGAGGGATAGTACCTCGTCCGCCATCTCGGCGCTCTCGCTGCCGCCCGCTTCGTCGCTGCATGCAGGAAGCGCGTATGCTCCGACGTCCTCGCGCTCCAGCATCTTCCTTGTTGTGTCCCGGTATCCGGACGCTCGCCTTGGCCTATCACCGCGCGCCAAGTGGGTGCCATTTTTCGGTAAATCAGGCAAAAATACCGTGTATATTTTTTAAAAGAACACACGGAAATAGTGTATTTTAGCCCTAGCCCTCGCTCTCACGCCCAAGACAGCTACAGTATCTAAAAAGCTGCGACCACGATCAGATAAAATGATCGCAGGCCCCGAGAGAGCAGACGACGAATCGAGACAGGTCTCTTCTTGATATATGGTATAGACCACCGAGATGCATTTCGCTGCATAGTGCGCTCCACCAAGGGAACATTTGTTTTGTTTTATTCCCTTGGCACACCACTGGCGTGGTGGCCCTCGGTCGAAGTGCTGCAGCGTTGCACTCATCTCTGAAAGACGACTTTTCCACACTATTATTCAAGAAAATAGATGAGCTATACATATTGGTGCCAGAGTCAGTTGGCTTGCTGCTCTTTTGTAGCTACGGATATGTCCGATCTCAAGACGTCGAGTCGGCGGCGACACGATGCGTGTAGCATCAAATCCGTGGTAGCGACAGACAGCCATGGTGTTATCTACTAGTTTTACGATAAATGATATATTAATTTTCTTGAATTGTTCTTGATTACCCCCTGCAATTATTGTTCTCGTCTCTGCACTATTAGTGGCTCAATGACGAGCGAGCGATAATCCCATGAACCATCACGAAAGTACAGCCGGATGCACCCTTCCCGTCGGGTGTACTGTGTGGCTCTGACATGCGTCGTTAACTCTCCATGCCCAATTACCCCAGCGGCGCTATTGACAATATTATCGTGTGTCATGCCTAATTTTGAAAAATGCAGTGTCGGATTGTATTAGGCGTCGAGGACGTTGTGCAGCTGCTCGATGAAGCCTTGGATGTCGTCGAGCTGGATCTCCATGACGGTCGTGTCAAAGCCGTCGTGCGTGTACTTGGCACCCGTCTCGGCGGCCGCCATCTTGAACGCCGTGCCGAGTTTGCTACACAATAATTTTCAATAGGCCCAATACTTGCAGTGTCCCGTACTTGCGATGGATCTCGCCCGCGCGCTCGGGGCACGTGACCCCGACGATCAAGTACACGTTGCGGGCCTTTAGGTGGCAGAGCAGCACGAACGGCGACGCCTGCTTGCCCGTCCACTTGCCTTGCTCGCGATGCACGTCAACGAGGAAGAGCGCGAGCTTGGAGAGCGTCGACGGGTGCGAGAACATGGCTTCGTCGTCCTCGCTGAGCCGGAGGCAGACGTAGCGAAAGTGCTTGATGCGCACGATGAGCTTGCGGTCGAGGATCGAAATGCCCATGGACACGATCGCCTTTTGCATGGTCATGGCCAGCTTGATACCTTGCTCCAACAGCGTACAGCTGCGCTTGCTCTTACTACATGAGAGGTCTTTTGAGTATGTTCAACACGACGCCAAAATGCAAGAGACCAGGGCAGAGCCTGGGACGCAATGTGAAAGCTGTGCTGCCAGAACGGCACCGACTCGTCCATCGCAAGAACGTCAGGCACCTTGTGCTCGACGGTCTTTTGGATGAGGTACGGCGGCGCCTCGAGGAGCGCCGAGAGGCCATGCACAATGTCGGCCGCGCACCACTGGTACTTGAATTCTACAACGAAAATATCACAAGGTGACATGCAGGGACACGACTTGAACCATACCAAATTGACGCCGGAACGAGCCGTAGAGAATCTCGTCGAGTTCAAACTCGGGCGCAATCTCCTGGAGCTTCTCGCGCAGCTTTTGCTTGAGCTCCATGGACATGAACGTGTAGCTAGATTGAATGCCATGAATCATGCACTGTCGCTGGACGCAAACGACCGACCTTTGCTGGCACTCTTTGAGGGAGAGGCCCATGCGGGCGAGGAACACTTCGAGCTCGTCTTTTCCGGACGGCTGCCATGTCTTGAGCTTGGCCGCGACATAGTTGGAGTAGAACATGCTCTTGTACAACGACCAGTGCCGGTAGAGGAGGAAGCGGTACTCTTCCTCAAACGCAATCGTGCCGCCGTGCACTAGATACATCCATCGCCATGAGATCTGATAGACATCGGACGCATCGAACCGGTCGGGAGGGCGGTGCCGTCGACGTCGGTGACGTCATCGACTGCTTGGTTGAGCGAGAGCACTTCGTCCTGGAACTTTTGGACCAGCATGTTGTAGTTGTGCGCATCGATCTGCTGCGCCACAAACTGCTTGGTGAGACCGACGATGGCAAACCAGACTTTATCGGGTGTCGACTGGTTCACTTGCGACGCGAGCTCGTACAAGAGCGTCGACGCCGGCGCGCCGTAGTACGACCCGCGGTAGTACTGAAGAATCTCGATCCGGCGTTGGCTACAAAGGACGATGAGATCGAGGGATTGGAGACACGATGGACGGTACTGCTTGGACGCGCCACGGCCCGGTCGAGGCGCAGGAACCTTCTCAACGTCGGGCTCGTCTTCTTCCGTCTCAAGGCCGGACGCGATGTCGTCCATATCGTCCTTCTCGGCGCCGTCGCCGAGGCTGCCGTCGTCGTCGTCGTCCTTGGCCGTCATGGGCTCGGAGGACGAGATGGCGTCGGGAGCACTGGCACTGGGTTCACCGACGGGAATGACGAGGACTTCAGCTTCGCCATCGAGCGAGTCGTCATCGCCATCCGAGCCACTGCGCTTGCGCTTCTTCGTGGCGTCCTGCACGAGTCCGTCGGCGACTTCGGCCTCGCCGTCGCTGTCCGAGTCGGACGCTGCCTCGTCTTCCTCTTCGTCGTCATCGTCGTCTAGTTCGATGGCTTCGATGTCTGGACCATCTTCGGGAAAGTCGTCTTCGGCCTGCGCTTCGTCGTCAAAGAGAAACACCGTGCCATGACGGTCGTAGACGTTGGCCAAGTGGAGCGGTCGATGGCTGTCGATGACGTAGACCTTGATGTTGCGGCCACCGAGCTGCATCGTCGAGTAGACGTCGATCATGGCGCCGCAGTTGATGAGGAAGACCGACCGGATGTCGGCGGCAAAGGCCATGGCCGCGAGCTGCGCGTTGCCGGCCACGGGCACGAGCGAGTAGGCGATCATGTCGGCCTGCAGCACCGAGGTGAGGATGGCGGAAGCGGCGATCGAGTCTGCATCGAGGGCGACGAGGAGGAGGACGCTGGCCGCGTTCGAGTCGAGAGCGTCCGAGACGACCTGCTTGTACGCGACGCGGAACTGCTCTCGTGGCCACAGCATGACGGCAACTGGCGACGATCCGCCCAATCACACGCGAGGAATTGGCGGCACGCGTTGGGATTGGTCCACATTAAACGTCGCGGCAAAAATAACTCGATCCGTTTAAACCGCTTTAACGCGAAACACCCGAATGTACCACAGAATAAAAACAGCGGTCTGGACAAACAGTGTTTGAGATGGTCCGACCGTACGTAGACACTGGAAACTGAATGCGAGAATGCCAAACGTGGCACTGCAACGTCCCCTACACAATCCAGTTTATGGACTACGCAGTGGGACGAAAGGGATGCATGCGAGAGGAAGTGCAAGCGCTTTGCAAGCGGCTAGCAGCCAAGAACGAAGAACTCTGCGATTACAAACTGCAAGTGTTTTAGCGAAGCTCAAACTCAAACTTACTGTACATAGCGAAGCTCAAACGCCAACGATCGTGTCTTTTTTTTCTGGGTCGTTCCGAGGCCGAAGCTGGGTGACAAAATGCTAGCGTAGCCCTTTGGTCAACCGGCGACATAAAGCCGACGTCACTGCTGAGCTGCTTGCCCACGATGTACCGGTACCAGATACCGGTATTTGTATCGGGCGTTCTGAATGATGGGTTCTGGGCATTGGGTTCTGGGGCATGCAAGCTGGTTTAGACGCAACCAGACATTTTGGGGTCACGCTTTCGAAGAGGCATGGCTCCAAGGGAATTGTTTTGTATTCTCTTGCGTGGCTTCTTCGTTGCGTTCGCTGGGACTTTGATGGGCACCGCAGGAGCGAAATGTATATTTTACTCTCGGAACCTCCCTCGCTGCGAAGCCCACCACGCCGCCAGGTTCAACTAGACTGTCGCGCGACACGGCGAAAGCACACACTGGTTTACGCGACCAGCGTGTGGAGGCCACGCCTTTTGGACAGCTTTGTGCTGGCTTTCTGCTGTGGATCGAGCAGCTTTCCCACCAACAGCTCGACGCAGTAACTTGTCAACGAAGGTGCCACGCTGTCACGATCAGGCAAATTTTCTTGCGCAAAATTGGGGTGTCGATCGTCGTCTTGATGCCACACTTGTCGACATGGCCTTGAGAACGATATGAATTCCTTTTCGGTGGCGATGTCAGTTGAGATGTTATAACGATACCCACTGCCAGCGTCCTTCCATTTGAAAAAGCTGAAGCACGTTTTCGGTGCGCGCGGCTCTGGGAATCGACGACAACGACGACGCCTTGCGACACGGGATGGTGGCACCCGCCAAGAACGGTCTCTACGGCCGAGCGTCGGTAGACGACGGGGCTTAAAGGGCGCACCGCTCTTGCGGCCTCGTGGGGCACTAGGAACGAGATTGACACCAATGGAACGACAAGCTGGTCACCTCCGCTGCATACGACAACCGGCGAAGTGGACCAGCTGCGGCAAACCATCAGCCGGTTGTTCACCCTGCACAGTACGTACTATGCAACATCTGTTGTCGGTACGTTGGCAGTCACACGTGTCTACGGCCAGAATTGCGAGGTGGCTGTCCCTTCCTCATAGAATCACTTTTTTATTTGCAGTTGGTCGTCACCATGTTTCGCCTCGTCACCGCTCTTGCCGCTATCGCGTCAGTCGCGCTCTCTGCCGCCGAGAAGACGGCGCTCCTCATCATCGACGTCCAGTACGACTTTGCCTCGCCGAATGGCTCGCTACCGGTGACGAACGGCGAAGCCGTCATCCCCGTCATCAACCACCTCCGCGCCAAGGGCAAGTGGGATATGATCGTCACGACGCAGGACTGGCACCCCAAGGAACACATTTCGTTCTACTCGCGCTGGAAGAGCGATCCGAGCGCTCATATGTACCAGCCGTACAAGCTGCCCGCATCGACAAAGTGGCCCGCGGACTCGATCCAGGTGCTCTGGCCCGACCACTGCGTGCAGGTAAAGCCTATTGGGTCCTCGAGGTTGGAATCCTCACGACAGTGATGCATAGGAGAGCGACGGCGCCAAGTTCCACAAAGACCTTGTCGTGGATGCCACGCAAGACGTTGTCATCAAGAAGGGGTCCAACCCCGACCTCGACTCGTACTCGGCGCTGCTCGAAAACGACCACAAGACCGAGACGGCTTTGCCCAAGATGCTCAAGGACGCCGGCATCACGAAGCTCGTCGTAGTCGGGCTCGCGGAAGACTACTGCGTCGGCTCGACGGCCTTCGACGCCAAGACTGTGTACAAGTTCGACGTGACAGTCATCTCGGACGCGACCGCCCCCGTCGCCGCCGCCACCCAGGAGACGATGTATGCCAAGCTCAAGGCCGCCGGTGTCGTCTACAAGACGTCGGCCGAGTACTTGAACCACCCTGCGTGCTAATGACACAATGATCACTCTTTGCTGGTGCGGTCAAATCGAATGTCGAATCTTTGGACGCTACCGCTCACCGATGGCTCCATTCGTACGCACGCGAACTGCTGCCGGCGTTTCGATCAAGCGCCTGGTCGGAGCGGGTGGCTTCCGACAGCGATGTTGGCACCTCAATTGCAGGCCGCAGGAGGCATCGCAGGCACCGCACCCTGTGTGTCAAAGAATACTGTGCTACCGCCTGCAGCTCGTCCTCGGTTGACGCTTTGTCGTCGAGGCACGGGCGTTGGCGCAAGTAGAAAGCTAGTGGTCGGGAAACAATCGAGTGCGCTAGTCTATACGATATGTACTACTGGCGAATCGAGGGCCATTGCCCGAGATCTGCCAGCGATGGGGGTTGACATAGCGCGACTTGAAGTGTGGGGACCAAGCGTGGGCAAGCGACAGCCCATCACCGAGCTCCTGATCTTCGCACGCAAAGGCTTGGCGCATGAGCTGGAATGGATGTAGTAGGACAACGCCCTCTCGGTTGGGTTGTCGCTAGGCTGGTCGCTAGGCGTCGTCTCTTCGGACTTCTCTGCGTTCGATTGGAGAGACGAGTATGCTGGTAGAGTCGGGCTGCATCGTCCAGGTGCTCATGTACACAATCGAATACCGGTACGAGGACGTAGTCTGCGATGATTGAGAAAAGACGCCTGCTTGTCGTCAGCAAATCACGGGAGCTGCCTCGACGTGCCCGACGAGGAGCAACCAGCGTCTCACCCGACTGCCAATTGGAGCCAGTGGCTGGCCTTGTGCCTTGTGTCGGAACGAATTCGTCTGAAACGAGAGTCGTGGCAAGTCTGGTCGATCAAAAATCCACTGTAGCTACGTGATGTACTACTTGACAGCGCCGCCTTGTACACTGCTCTGCCCAAAGCCACGCTCAGTCGATCGCCTTTTGTCTTTCCTTTGATGTAGCTTGAATGCTTGTAGATGCAGCAAGTGGCGTGATAAAAAGAAGTCTTCTTCCAGTAGGTGGACGCTGCCGACATGATGGAAGCTAGAACGCTGTCGCCATGGTTGCTCACGTGCAAGATGTCGGTGCCTACTCAACCTTTTCCGTTGACTTGGCAAGTGTATGGGCCTTAAAGCACCGAGATGGAAGCCTGTTTCGTATCTCCTTCACAATCCCTCCCAAAGACCAGTTGCATGCATAGAAGTTGTGCGTTCGATCTTCCAGCATCTGCACCAAGCTACTCGTGTAACAACGTACACAACAATCCCTATCAAAATCCGTCGTGCGCTGGGTGAAGGTTTTGTGTGCCAACTTGGAGTGTGATGGTGGCTCACTGGCTAAAGAGGGGTCCTATGTCTAGGGTGTCAATCGTACTGCGCGGAGAGTTTCGATGTGGGCGACTCGACGGTGAGTCTCCTCTCCATGAGCTCTCTCCATGCGTCTCTTCCATACATCTCTTCCATACGTCGCTCTGCCCTGCGTCGATGTGCAGTTTGAAATTGTCCACCGGAAGAGGACCGCATGGCGTGGTAATGCGCTGACCCGAAACACATGGTCTTCAACGGACGGTGCCAACTATCCTTATTCTACACGCTCCAAACTCCAAACTTGGCGCTTGTGGCGTTCATTATTTCTTTTCCTCCATCATGGTTGCTACCTCCTCCTTCATTACATCGCTCGTCGCCTTTGGCGCGTCGGTGATGGCGTCGTCGCTCCCGCCGTGCAACAAGGTCTGTCCCGCTGCGTTGTCTCCCGCGGCTCATCGTTTGTCTTGTAGACGGCGCTCATCATCGTCGACGTCCAAAACGACTTTGCGCTGCCGACCGGCAACCTCCGGGTCGTTGGGGGTGAGGCCATCATCCCCGTCATCAACAAGGTCCGCGACCATGGCAAGTTTGACATGGTCGTGCTCACGCAAGACTGGCACCCGCTCGACCACGTTTCGTTCGCCTCACGCTGGGCCAGCGACCCGATCGCCCAGCCCTTTACACTGTACACGCTGCCGCCGTCCGGTGCGTGGCCGCCCAACACGCAGCAGATGCTCTGGCCCAACCATTGCGTCCAGGTACTCCCTCCCATGCCTCGTACAGGGAATCTTACGACGCTCGATGCCTAGAACGGCTACGGCGCCGAGCTCCATTCGGACCTCAAAGTGAACGTCAAGAAGGACATTTTCATCAAGAAGGGGTCGAACCCCGACCTCGACTCGTACTCGGGTCTGATTGAGAACGACCACAAGACCGAGACGGCTCTGCCCAAGATTCTCAAGGACGCCGGCATCCAGCACGTGGTCGTGGTCGGGCTCGCGGAAGACTACTGCGTCGGCTCCACGGCGCTGGACGCCAAGACCGTGTACGGCTACGACGTCACCGTGCTCTCGGACGCGACGGCGGCTGTCGCCCCGGTCTCCAAGAAGGAGATGGAAGACAAGTTCGCGGCGCAGGGCGTCACTCTCCAAACGTCGGCCGAATTCCTCAAGGCCCAAAACGCTCTCAAGTGCCGCTCCAACTCCAAGAGCTGCTAGAACCCGTGGTCTATTGAGAGTCTGAATCGGTTGTGGTCGTTTGTCTAAAGAATTACTATGTTCCATCCGAACTTATCTCCCAAAAGTGTACACGGAGTCGTGTGCATTTGAAATGTACTATAGCGTAGGGCTTACGCTATCAAGTGCTGCCTTGCGTTGCCAGAAACTGCACCGCGGTCTGGAGGGTGGCGCCCGCCGCCACAAACCGCGCATGCATCGTGGCCTGGCAAAGCTGTGCTGATCCTTCGCCGTTTCCTGCCACAAACGAAAGCAGCAGCGCACTTTCCAATTCGACTCGATCACCATGGGTATCTCTTCGCTTCGCTCGGGTCGTATGGCATTGGGTGCTGCGTTGGCATCGGCCCAGTCGTGCGAAAAGGTCATCGATTCCACTCGTACCAACAACCCTGTAACAGTCCTCTAGACGGCGCTCATCATCGTCGACGTCTAAAGTGACTTTGCGCTGCCGACCGGCAACCTCTAGGGGTGAGGCCATCATCCCCGTCATCAACTACGTGCACCTTTGATTTGACCCAAGACTGGCACCCGCTCGGCCACTCTACCTTTCTTCGAGTCGTGCGATACGATAGCATGTGAATTTAGAACCAAGACGGCGCCAACTTGCACAAGAATCTGGTGCGCGAGCCGACCGACGTTGTGATTCAGAAAGGCAGCAATGTGAATCTGGACTCGTACTCGGCGCTGCTCGAGAACGACCATGCGACCGAGACCAAGCTGCCTGCGATTCTCAAGGACGCCGGCATCCAACACGTGGTCGTGGTCGGGCTCGCGGAAGACTACTGCGTCGGCTCCACGGCGCTGGACGCCAAGACCATGTACGGCTATACCGTGCTCTCGGACGCGACGGCTGCCGTCGCCTCTGCAGCGAAAGAAGACATGAAAGGTCGCTTTTCGGCCGCCGGCGTCAAGCTGCACACCGCGGCCCAGTTTTTGGCGCACGAGCGCACGTTGTACTACACGTAGTAGTAGCCAACGCGACTTCGATTCCCACTGTACGTATGACCATTCTAGTCCATTCTAGTAGTGATTCTAGTCTGTTGGTTGCCGACATAAGTTGACACCTTATCGTCATGTCCCTCGCCCGTCGTTTTGCGCCTGCCCACCGACACTTATACAGTTTTTTAGGGTTCAGTATATTGTCCCGTGCATCGACGCGCCGGTCGTCATCATCGACGTCGATCTTGCGGGTTACTGGCGCGAATGGAGGCGGAGCTGGTACACGCAGTCGATGAAGCGGTCGTACGTGATTTCCGTCTCGGCGCCGTCGTCCAGCATGTCTTGGCGCGCCATTTCGGTGATCGCGAGCAGCTTCTTGACGCCCATCGGCGTCGTCTGGCTCAGGTACAAGGCGATCTGCGACCGAGTGCTGGCCGACATGGGGAGACCCGCGCCGGCGAGGACCGCGTCGAATTGGTCCGGCGCTTCGAGCTGCGGCACGAGGACGCTCACGTCAAAGACGGACGCCAGGCCCAAGCTCGCCATCTCGTCGTACGCCGAGGTGATTCCGACAACGACGAGCTTCCGGCCGGGCACGGGCACCGGGTTCTTGATCATCACCAGCAGCGTCTGCAGCATCGAGTTGGAGAAACGCGGCCCGCTCGCTACCCATCATGTTGGATAGTTGAGGATAGATGGATAGTAGGAATGCACATACCGACGTATTCCATGAGGCGCTCCATGTCGTCAATGATAATGAGACTCAGTGGCGACCGGTACGCCTCTTCAAAGAGCGTGTAGAGGTAGCTGCTTTTCGCGAGCTCTTGGCGGCCAATCAAGTCGGCCACTTTCACGAGCCGCACGAGCGGGTACTCGCTCGCGACCGCCGACGCGGCCGCGAGCGCCGTCTTGCCCGATCCCGGCTGGCCGTGCAAGAGGACGCTCATGAGCGACGTCTTCTCGTTCGTCTTGACGTGGTTGAGCACCTTGCGCAGCGTCGCCTGCACGTCATCAAACGCAGGGCCGTACGAGAGCAGTCCGTTGCGGAAAAACATCTCGAGCGTGTCTTGGGGCGCGCCAAACTTGGGTTTGACTTCGCTCAAGGCGAGTTCAAAATCCGCGAGCGAGATCTCGGGCGTAAAGTTCTGGATCGCGTGGTACGTCTTGCCGTCCGTGCCACGCGAGAGTGCGTGGGCCGTCGCCGCGCGCACGAGGCCTTCGATTTCCGCGCCCGAGAAATTCTTTTGTGCGCTGCGCGAGGTTGAGCGGCGCGTCTTTGACCGGCGGCAGCATGCACGCGTCGAGGTCGGCGAGCAGCGCCGGGTGCAAAATGCCATTCGCCCGCGCCTTGCTCGTGTGGATGCTCAGAATCTGGCCGCGCCCGTGCTCGTCCGGCAGGTTGATCTCGACTTGGACCTCGAGACGCCCCGGCCGCATGAGCGCTTCGTCCAGCATGTCCTAGGATAGATTGATACATTGATTTATGGAAAGCACATGTCGGACCTTGCGGTTGGTCATGCCAATGACGAGTACGTTGTTGAGCGAGTCGACGCCGTCAATTTGCGTCAAGAGCTGGTTCACGACGCTGTCACCGACGCCCGTGCCGTCCCGGGACGACCCGCGCGCCTTGCAGATCGCGTCGATTTCATCGAAAATGATAATGTGCAGCTCGCTCTCTTCGCCGACCTCGTCCTGCTCCTTGCGCGCGTCCGCAAAGAGATCGCGGATCTTGCGCTCGGATTCGCCGACAAACTTGTCGAGGATCTCGGGTCCGTTGACGACTTTGGGCTCCTTGGCATTGAGCACCTACGATCCTATTGAGTTTTCCTGGAAAAAAGAGAGCGTTTTTGAGAAAGAGAGTGGGTACCTTGCCAATCTGCCGCGCAATGAGCGTCTTGCCGCAGCCCGGCGGGCCGAAGAGGAGCATGCCCCGCACGTGCTTGATCCCGAGCTTCTCAATGACGGACGCGGGGAAGACGCGGGACGCGAACGCGCGCCGGAAGATGTCGTTGAACTCCTTATCGAGACCGCCGATACCGAGCTTGGAGAAGTCAAAGTCGGGCTTGAAGATGCGGTTGCCGCCACCTGATGCGCTCTAGAGTCCGCATGAGTCGAGCGGTGGTCGAGGGAATCGTCGTACCTGGTTGAGGAGCTTGAAGGGCGCGTCTTTGCCCTTGGAGAACACGAGCGCGCTGCCTGCGACGTAAAGGCCGACGGTCGGCGCGAGGCTCGTCGGCGCGGGCGGCGCGTCGGGCGGTGTGAGGAGGTCGACCTTGGTGACGCACATTTTCACGGGCTTGCCGCCAATGTCAATCACAATGCACTGGCCGGGCGAGAAGGCTTGGTTGAGGTACTGCTGCTCGAAGATTCTCTTGACCGCTTCGCAGTCGAAATCGGCGACGATGTTGGAGCGCATGAGCAGCGCCTGCACTTCAAAGTGGACGGTCGCGATCGCAAAGCCGCGTGCTACGTCGGGAACCCATGGCGTGAGGGCAACGGACTGGCCCATCGCGAGGTTGGCGCTCAGGCGGTGCATCTGGCCCATGCCGACCGTGCCCATTGGCGTCTCGGCGAGCGGCTGCGCCGCAAAGACGTACTTGTTGTTGGCCCAGACGTTGAGCCCCGACGCCTTGAGCTGCTCGACGCTCGTGACGCCACGTGGCGTGCGCGAGACGAGCGCGCGGAAGTCGTCCGGGTGCACGTAGATGCTGTTGGTGAACGCGAGCGCTTGGCTCGCGAGGCCGCCGACCTTGCCCTCCATGCTGCAGCGTCGGGAAAATGAAAATGAAAGACGATCCGGCGAAACCCCTTCCTTCTCAATTGAGCGACTCTGATACAGTAGGCAAGACAATGCGAAACTCAAAAAAAGCGCACATACCTGACGTCTCGGTAAAGTACGATTCTTTAGGCGTTCTCGGCGCCACAGTAGGATATCTGAAACTCAATATAGCGACAATTGTACGTGATTGAGTCTGAAAAGTCTAGTCAACCAATCACAGCGAGCCATGTCAAGATCGCGCACGTAATCCCATCCTGCGAACGCAACGCAATTACAGCCCCTAGTCCTCTACGTTTATAATGCGAGCCCAAGCTACACCCTACAGACTGCAGTACGGAAGCTTGCACGGACCTCTCCAGTTGGTCACGACCGTTCGTGCGGTGCTGCGAGAGTTCTTGCCGGTATGTCGGGTCGATGAGACGTATCCGCGTCGATCTAAGGAAGCTGTCTCAGGCACGCTGAGTCCATATCCAAGACGCTGCAAGCCCAACCTTGCAGGGCTCGCGTTGGGAGCGTTGGGAGCGTTGGGACGAGGCTGCCCTTAGCGCATCGATGGCGGTACACAAAGCACCGTTGCGGTCGCATCGCATGCGCAGGTTACGAGCAAACGTAAGTACCACCGGTGCGCACTTGCTCATTGGTCGTTGCCAGAGCCTTTAGCCGACATCAAGACATAGCGCTAACCCACAGAGCTATCGCCCGCTCTACGATCCAGTGCTAACTCTCACGCCTTGGGCACAGTCGCGGCTTCGTGGACCATCGCGCGGGCGAGCTGACACAAAGACTGGAGTACTACTCAGTAGCGTTTGCTCAAATGGATGGGGTGTGAATCGATCGAGTGGGCGGCTGTAGCTGGTTCAGATTGTGTGAGATGGCGTGTCATCCCTGTTGCCTCTGGTGTGACGCGCTTGCATTTTGTCAATGCCACGCCAGAAAGCTATCAAACACACGAGGCAACTCGCCACCAGGACTTGGAGTGAAGCTGGTGCTGCCACGTAGCGGGATATTAACGCGTTACAATCTATTCTAGTATGAAAATACTTTTTTATGCGGGCAATCAACGTCTTGAGGATATGTTCAGAGTTTGGAACCGGCGAAGCGACGAGCGGCAGCCAGCACGACGAGAGCGATGCAGCCGCGGAGAGTACAAAAGCGCGCCGCCTCATGGACTATTGACAGGACGCAGCGTCGCAGCTCACGCTTCTCCAGCGTGCGATACAAACACCAAGTACACGCAGCACAGCGATGGCTCGAACGCCTTTACAGCCCTCGGCGGCGCGAGTGATCTCGATGCCTCAAAAAACGAATTCGCATGTCCCTCTACGACCCGCTCTACCACCAGAAGCGCGCTGCAAAGCTCGCCGATGCCAAGTTGGCGGCCCAAGACGCCCTCATGCGTAAGCCAAGCCCGACGGCGGCCACGAACCAAGGTTCGCGTGCCACCGCGTTCGGGCGCAGCACGACCCCGACGATTGTCCGCCAGCGTGCGACGACAACTGTCCCGGTGACTGCGCGATCGACGATTCGGTCGACGCAAATGCCCGCCACGACGGCAGGGCGCCCACTGACGGCGAGCAGCCGCAACGCCACCACCGCCGCGCAGCGTCGCGAACCGGTGGCGAGCGTTGCACCTGCTCCGTCCAGTGCCACCATGGATGTCAAGCCAGCTGGCGCGACATCGACGGCCATCTCCGAGGCGATCCTCGAAGAGCTGCGTTCGGAAGTTGCTACTCTCCAAGCGCAGGTCGTCAACCTCCAGGCGAGTCTCGACGCGTCGCAGGACACGGCCGAGACTAGCGCCTCGGAGCTTGTCCTTGCCCGTGCCCAGCACGACAGCGATCTCGAAAATCTCGGAGATCAACTTCGAGCCTCGCAGGACGCCGTTCAGCATCTTGAGGCATCACTCGAAGCGTCGGAGCATTCGGCTCCGACCTGTGTGTCGGCGCTTGCTGCTGCACAGTCAAAGTTCGACACCGACGTCAAGGCGCTCGAGGCAAGTCTCGAGAAGGCACAAGAAGCGGCTTCGGCCGGTGTCTCTGAGCTTGCGGCTGCTCGATCGCAGCACGCCAACGACGTCGAGAAGCTCAAGGTCAGCCTTGAGGAAGCGCATCAAGCGGCTTTAGCCGGCGCGTCAGAGCTCAAGGCCGAGCTCGCAAAAGCCTATGCGACGATCGAGTCCCAGGAGCGCCAGCACAACGCTAACATTGAAGCGCTTCAGTGTCAACTCACCATCACCAAGGCAACTGCTCGTCGCTCGACGAAGGCGCAGAGTCAAAAGCTGCGAGCAGAGCGCACTCGAAATGCTCAGCTTCGCCAAAGCAACGGGCAACAACAAGCGGCACTTTCTGCTGTTCAAGACGAAGTCTCTGCTCTGCAGTCCGATCTTGTGGCAGCGCATGAGACGTCAGCGAACGTCGCGCGCCGCCTCTCGGCCGACCACAAGAAGGCGCTGGCCGATGCCAGTGCCACCCTCGCAGCCAAGGGCGCCGAGTTTCGAGCCAAGTACGAAGACGTTGTGCGTGGCCGCCGTGTGGTCTGCCCTGCTTGTGGCGACGTCGACGAAGTGAGTCAGTGGACCATCTTTCCTGGGCCGCTGATGGAAGACACGGACTTTGACAGCGACATTGAGGTGGGTCTCGGTGAACCACCTGCACCGCCAGACCTGGTCGCAGCCGCAGAGCTCGAGGCAGAACGCAAGGCTAACGAGGCGCTCAAAGCGCAAGCCGACGCCGCAGCAGCCCGCGCCGCATCGAACGAGCTGCGCCTCGAGAACAAAATTGTGAAGCTCATGTCGACCATCAGCAATCTCTCGGCCAATGTCAACGCGCTCTCGTCGGACAAGTCGGCGCTCACAGAGGCCAAGACAAAGCTCCAGGAGGAGACGACGAGCCTCGCATTGCGCGTAGCCGCCTTGGAAGTGGCGCTGCAGAAACAGCAGACACAAGCCACGAGCGACATGAAGGCGCTCGAGACGCGGGCAGTCACAGCCGAAGCCACCCAAGAAGCCAACGCGACGGCGGTCCGTGAGCTGCAAACCACCATCGAAGGACTCTCGACAAGCGCACTCTTCCGACGCACCCAAGAGCTCATGAAACAAATCCGGGACCTGGAGGCTCAGCTGCACCGCCTTGGGCACTAAGCATAGTAGCTCTTAACTCTTCTTCTTGAATACTACGATGTGAGTTTGCATATAAAAGTAGATTGAAATTGTCCTCCTTCGGTAGATTGATAGCAACACCAGCGACGAGGCGGTGCGCAGCTGCTTGATGAAAGCACGAGGGTGCAGTAGGTCGGTTCTGGATCGATTTCTGCCGCCATTTTGAAGTGAACGAAAAAGCCTCCGGGAGGTTCATGCTCTCATGTCGCTCAACACCAATGCGTTTGACGCCCAAAGCGCAAAATCTTCAAGCTGGTGGAAAATGTGACAATATCTGGTACAAATCGTCCAGAAGGACAACAAAAGTGAGTGTTCGTAAACCCTTTGCGTCCAGCGTAGTACAATTGGACTGCTCGCTCGTATTACCTGCGAGTCATGCGACAGGTTTAGCGGCAAGCCTCGCGACCATGACGTGCTCGAGCTTGGTCCCCGGATGTCGAACGCGGAAAGGGCAACGTGGAAGCTCGTATGGCCTTGCGGACGATCTGACGGCGCTTGCTGCAAAACCAGATGGAACGAGAAGCTGGTTGCAGTCGCATCGTTGCCAATATCAATATAGGCCCGCGCACATGTATGTGTCCACACGTTGCTACTATAATAATAGCAGGCAGCCATCGTCCCCCTCGTGGTGGGCTTTGAATTCATCCCTCCCACAAATACTACTAACAAGTTCTTCGCTTGGGGCTATTAGCTGCATCTACCGTGTACTGGAGGAAGCTCCTGACGCGTCGCTGCATCTTTGCGTCTACCTTGCTGTGACTGCTTTGCTCGTGGAACCCATGGAGAGGACTATCATCAATACATCTTTCAAAGGATGGAATGGGTTAACATACATACCTTCAATCAGGGAAATTAACGTGGTTCAGTACATTTCGAGGCGCAGAACGTTGGCAACGCGTTACGCATAGGGCCGCTTTGCCAGCTTCTACTCTGCCGACAGCAGCAGCTGTCGGGTTGCCGCAGCATGCATAGCGTGTACTTCACCTTTTGCCAAGCCTCATGGCGGCCTCCAAGCCCATCCTCCTGCTGCTGCTGGTCTGGCTAGGTATCCTCGCCGTCGTCGCCATCGACCCGCCGACCGGCAACCACCGCAAGATCGACCTGGATCTCTGGAACGACCTGCATACCAAGGCGTCGGTCGATGCGATCGTCGAGTTTGAGGGCCTCCAAAAGTTCTGGAGCGACAAGACCGAGCACACCGACTTGGACAAGCCATCGAGCAACGTCCGCGTCCGCGACCTCCTTCGGTCCGTGGCCGACACGCGCAGGTGAACGCGCGCCACATCCTCGAAAGCAAGGCGCCGCACCGCCGGCGACTCGAGAGCGCGCCCGAGGTCTGCCCTGGCATCGACGACGTCCAGCTCCAAGACCTCTGGGTGGCCAACCAATTCAAGGTCTTCTCGCTCACGCTGTGCATCGCCGAGCAGCTGAGCAACCTTCCGCGCGTGCATCGGCTTCGGTACGGCTACACGATGACGATCGGGACGCACGCGGTGGCGATGCAGACGACGACGAGCAGCGCCAACTCGTGGGGCATCACCGCGATTGGCGCGCCGGCCGCGTGGGCGCTCGGCCATACGGGCCAAGGCGTCCTCGTCGGCTCCATCGACAGCGGCGTCCGGTCGACCCACGAGGCGCTTTCGGCCAACTTTCGAGGCGCCTACGGCTGGTACGACGCAGTGACCAAGTCGCCGACGCCGATCGATGAGAACGGACACGGGACGCACACGATGGGCACGATCGCCGGGAGCCACGGCGTCGGCGTCGCGCCGGGCGTTACGTGGATGGCCTGCCGCGCGTGCTCCGCGTCCGAGTGCAAGGAAGCCGATTTGCTCACGTGCATGCAGTTTATGCTCTGCCCCACGGACGTGAACGGCGAGAACGACGACTGCTCGAAAGCGCCGCACGTCGTCAGCAACAGCTGGGGCGCCGGCGCGACCGACCTCGGCTCGTACCGCGCAGCCGTCGAAGCGTGGCGCCGCGCCGGCATCATCCCGATCTTCTCCAACGGCAACACGGGTGCCTCCGGCTGCGCCTCGGTGCAGAGCCCGGCCGACTACGACAACGTCATTAGCGTCGGCAACATCGACTCGACGGGCGCGCTGAGCACGACGAGCAGCCGGGGGCCGACCAAGGCGGGTTCGATCAAGCCGACGCTGTCGGCGCCCGGGTCGGCGATCACGTCAGCGTCCAACAAGGGCGACGGGTCGTACGCAGTCATGTCGGGCACGAGCATGGCCGCGCCCCACGTCACTGGCGCGGTCGCCCTCCTTCTGAGCCAGCACCCGAGCTGGGGCTACGACGAGATCCTCAACGCGCTCACGACGAGCGCGACCACGTCGACGCTCAAGCCGTCGACGCCCGACACGTGTGGAGCCGCGGCCTCGACGACCTTTCCCAACAACCATTTCGGCCACGGTCTCCTCTCGCTCGCGTCCTCCACCAATAATGCGACGACGACGACGACGACGACGGCGCCGCCGGTCAGCCACGACGACCAGTGTCCCGTCACCGACGACCGCCGGCAACGGCTCCACGTTGCCGCCGTCCACGATCCTGCCACTGCCGTCGGCATCGAGCCACGCACCAGGCAGCACCCGCCCGCCCGCGACGACGACGACACCGGCACCGACCGTGCCGCCCTCGGAGCTCAACACGGAGCTCAACACGGACGTGCTGATCGTGACACCGTCGCGGTCCGTCGTCGTCGTTGCCAGCAACCGCGTCCGCGCGACGTCCGTATCGTCGTCGTCGCCCATCGCTGGCGCCACGTTCACGTACAGCCCGCTGACGCAGCAAGTGCTCGCCTCGAACGGCGAGTGCCTCACGGCGTCGCCGATGGCCGAAAGCTCCGGGGCCTTCCTTCTGCACACGTGGCCGTGCCGCCTGAGCAACGTCAACCAGCGCTGGCTTATCACGGACCAGCGCATCGCCCATGGCCGGCACAAGAACCAGTGCCTCGCAGTCGTCGCGTCGTCGGCGGGCGTCGCGCGCTGTGATCCCAAGGCGCCGTCCCAAGTGCTCAGCGCCCTCCCGCTCGACCGCGCCATGGCCTACCTCTCGTCCCGCCGCCGCGTATAGGGACTCGTATTTTTTAAGACGCAACACGCCGTCATGGCATCATCTACCTTATTATTCCTACGACACTGCTTACGACTCGAGGGCCAACGCATCGGTGAGGCGGTCAGCGAGCTCGGCCTTGAGACCCTTCGTGTCCAGGTCACGCTCCTTGAGATATGCACGCAGCTCGACGACCTTGAGCTTGGCAACGGGCCCGATCGCGTGCTTGGAGGTCCGCGCCGAGACGACAAGCGCGCTCTTCTCTGCGGTCGCCTCCTCCATTGGGGCGTCGACGACTGTGACATCGTCGTTGTCCTCTTCGTGTGTCATCGTAACATCGTTGGTCGCGTCGTCGTCGTGCTCGGAGGCTGCCTCGTTGCCTTTCTCCGTGGCTGCCTCGTTATCTTGCTCGGCCATTGCAGTGTCATCCTGCTCGATCATGGCACTGGTGTCGTCTTGCTCGGTCATGGTAGTGTCATTCTCCTCGGTCATGGCAGTGTCATTCTCCTCGGTCATGGCAGTGTCATTCTCCTCGGTCATGGCAGTGTCATCCTGCTCGGTCGTGGCGCGGGTGTCGTCTTGCTCAGGCGTTGCAGGCGCATCTACCACGGTCTCGCTCGCCTCGTCGTCGAGCTTGTCGTGTGCGTCTTCTGTCGGGGCGTCAGCCCGAGACGCGTCATGGCTGCTTTCGTCCTTGGAGGTCATGGCTCCGACCGTCTCGGACGCTGGAAGGTCAGTCGAGGACGTTTGTGTCTTCTTTGCGGGCGACGCTCCTTCGGTGCGCACTGCCTTGAGCTTGGCGGTGAGCACGTCCACCTTGCGCTTCGTGTCGGCTTCAATCTCGCGTTTCTTGACCTCAAACTCTCGTCGACGGAGCTTGATCTTCTCTTCGACGGCCTCCATGGACGCGTCGACAAGGGCTTGCGTCTCCTTGGTGTGGCGCGCAGGAAGGTAGTAGATCGGGATCGGCGTGACTGTCTGGAGGAACCGCGCGTAATGGCGCTCGTATTTTGTGCTGAGCGTGACTTGTCGCTCGAGCTTGGCGACGCTGTCGCTCGCATTGCGCTTGAGCGACGAGATCTGCGTCTCGATCCTTCGCTGCTCCGAGCGCTGCGACGCGAGGCCTTGCACGCGCTGGCTCTGCTCTTTTGTCTTGGCGTCCGCCGCCGAGAGCAACCGATCTTGCTTCTGGAGCAAATCACTGTCCTTTGCAAGCTGCTTCTTGGCTTTGCCGAGGTGCCCCATGAGGTTCCCAAACAAGCGACGCCGCCCGTTCAAGAGGTCGGTGGGCATCGCCGTCCCGTCGCCGCCGCGCTACAAGAGGCCCCTCGTCGCCACGGTTCAACGTACACAGAGCCACGTACCATCACACGTCGGCGCTTCTCTTCGCCTTGTCCTTCGGGCTCGCGCGCCGTGCGCTTCCGCGGCGAAGCAGCATCGGCCACGGCGCCACGCTCGCCGATCCGGTCGCGGATGCTCTTGCTATTGCGCGGGGTCTCGTTCTGGTCATGGCTACCTCGCCGGCCCTCGGCTATACACATGGAGATTCTATGCATTCTCCTCTTGCCACGTCATGCGCTCGTACCATGGCGTCGCGTCGGCGTCTCGGACATCGTCGTCGTCGTCGTGATGTGTGGTCGCTCCGATGTTTCGATATATCTTGGCCATACCCAAGTCGAGTGACCCGACAAAGTACGCTTCGATCGCTCGGGGTCTTTCAAGTACGATCCCTATAAGTGCGCTTCGGACGCCGTGTCAAGTACGGGTGCCACTTAAGTACGGGCCGGCCAGCCGGAAGGATGGAGGACACCGCGACGCCGTCGAGCGCCGTCCACGCCGACGACTACAACGCGTGCTTCAAGGACACGGTGTGGCTGAGCACGTTCGAGCTCAACTTCCACACGGTGCTCTACTACTTTGCGCTCTCGCCCTTCTATGACAAGAACTGCAACAACGAGCGGCTCAAGATGCAGCGGTTGCCCCTCGACCAGCTCGTCAACATGCGTGGCATCGAGTACGAGCTGCTGCCAAACCTCTCCAAGCAGCTGCCGCAGACGCTCTACATCATCCGCAAGCAGTTCCGCACGAGCAAAACCAGCGTCCAGGTCATGGCCATCTACTACTGCCTCGACCAGACGATCTACCAAGCCCCGAATACGTTCACGATGATCACCTCGCGCTTGGTACGACCTTATATCTCGTCACGATGACCGTGCTCATGAGCACGAGCGTAGAAGAAGTGCAGCTACCGGATCAACAAGGCGTTCCAAGCGCTCAGCGCCGGCGTGCGTTTTAGCCCCACGGAAGGCTATGCGTGGGACTTTAGCACGGACGAGAAGAAGGAGCCGCTCATTCCCTCGGAGCGTACGACGGCTTGGCGCAGCGTTGCATGCATGCTCATGGCACCGCCTTGTAGAGCTGGCCCTGAAGCTCAAGCGCAAGCAAGAGAAGGAAGAAAAGACCAAGCAAAACAGTTCGCGTGTCGACGCGATTGTCCTCAACCTCGTCAAGAAGGTACATGATCGCGCGTCCTGCATGGTCTTTTCTATGCAATATGCTAGCATGCACCAGAGGTCATGGCAGCGGGGCGGCGATGATGGCGCCTCAGCCGCCTGCCGTGCCCGAGGCGACACCGGCCGACGGCAACCCGCCGCCGGCCAAACGCCAGAAGATGTAGATTCGGCATCAAAACGGAGCCTCTGTGTTACTTATCTTTCTTGTCGCCTTCGTCGTTCTCGGGCTGTACCGTCTTGTCTTCGGTGGGCATGCTCGGGACGAGGCGCGTCGCGACCTCGTGGACCATCGGTGGCTGCGTCGACATGCGCAACTTGGGCAGGAGGATGAACACGATGAGGAAGAGGACAAAGCCGACGACGATGCCAACGTTGACGCCGCAGATGCTGCTGACCGGGTACGGGAGGCAGTAGGGCTCGTCGACCACGCGGCGCTGGCGCCAGCTGCCGTCGACGTGCTGTGCCATGGGGACCGCTTGAGGAGTTCGGATACTGCTTGGCTATCCGGCAGATACAATTCGGCATATGCCATGTTGAAGCTCGACCCATGACCTCGCCGCCCGTCGAGACGGCACTACGTATACGCGCCTGACCGACTCTACACATACACACCTGAGCTCCTCGAGCGCCTGTGCTCAGCTGCCGTCTCGGCTGCGACGAGCCTTCCCATAGGCGCTCTGGGTAATTGTTGCTGGTCGTTCAGGCGCTTGCTGTTGGCGCTGCCAGACTAAACGACGTCTTGGCCCTTTGCTCTTATATGCAATACCAGTAAACGATATTGTCGTATGAGGTTCGTACAGCACCAAGACGTCGTTAATCCGTACAGCAGGGTGCACTACGGCGAGGTCGCTGCCGTGCATGGATGTGATGGAGCATGACTTATGAACATGGCGGTGTGGTTGTTTTCGGCATTTGCCGATTGCAAGATTGCAATCCCAGATTGAGTGGAGCGACGATGGAGGTGCACGTGTGGAGCTCGCTGGAAGAGCAGGTCGATACGGTGTTGCCCGTCGAGATCGCCGGCGACCAGTACCTCGTCGCGGTAACCTCGTTCCTTGAGGGCAACGACTGGAGCAGCAGCGTGCGGCTCCTGCGCTACGCCAGCAGCGCCTTCGAGCACGTCCATGCGCTGCGTCTCCCGACAAGCGTCGCCAGCGTCGCCTGGTTTGAGCCCGACGTGCTCGTCTGCGCTGGCGACGATGGCGATCTCTACTACTGCATGTTTGACACCGAGGCGTCCGTGTGGCGCCGCCTCGACCCGGAAGTCGCGCATGGCCACAACGACCTCATCACGTCCGTGGACATACATGCGTCGATGCTCGCATCGGCCAGCTGGGACAACAGCGTCAAGGTCTGGGACCTTGCGACGATGGCGCTGCGCGAGCAGTTCAAGGACCACACCGACAAGGTCTGGGGCGTCCAGTGGGCGCCGTTGGCGACGGCGCAGTGTGCGACCGCGTCCCAAGATCGCACAGGTAGCTGTCGATTGCACGCTCCTTCCGAGGCTCATGCTACCATATCTATAGTGCGGTTGTGGGACACGCGCCAGCTCGGCGCGGCCACGTCCGTCACGACGCCGTGCGCGGCCATGTGCGTGGCGTGGCACCCGACGCAGGACCACCTCGTGACCGCGGGCCTCGAAGACGGGTCGCTCTGGACCATCGATACGCGGTCCCTCGAAACGACGCTGTCGACCTTGGTATCGCCAATCCTCGCATCCATCTCTTCTTATCTGTACTTGCAGAACCAAGTGCACCGCAGCAGCGTGCATGCCATCGCGTACCATGGCGATGCGCTGGCGTCGGCTTCGGACGACACGACAGTCCAGATCTGGGACCACCTCTCGTCGGCGTCGCCCACCCAGCGGTACGTCAATGCAGCATCTTCTTCTTCTTGGATGGCCCGTCGTCAATGCACATGATGCTAGGCTCGTGTACGAAGAGCACGGTGACTACGTGCACGGAGTTGCGTGGTGGGATGCCACCACCGTCGTTTCGAGCAGCTACGACAAGAGCGTGCATCTCTGGCACGTCTAAGCCATCAACACGACGCGTACTTCATTCTTAAATAGGTAGAACCGGAGCCAGCTCTTTCGCACTCTCCGGTCCTTCCTTTTGCTTGGGCTTGGACATCGACGTGCGCGACGCTGGCTTGGGCTTGACGTCAAGAAGCCACTCGTGGGCGAGCGCCTCGGACGGTGTCAGGCGCACCGCCGGGTCCCATGCCAAGCAACGGGCTACAAAGTCGACCATCTTGCCATCGGGGTTCTTGAGGAGCGCGCGGAGCTCGCGGGATTTCGGTCGGCGTTTCCGGCCGCGCGAATTGACGAGTTGGAGCGGGTCGCCGGCGTCGTCAAAGAAATTTTTCCGCCGCTTGCACGTCGCGACCATGGCGGACGGTGGCACATCGAGCACTTCCATGATGCAAGCGAGCTGCTCGGCCTCGTTCTCGCCCGGGAAGATCGGGTACCCCGTGAAGAGCTCGCCGATGATGCAGCCAAAGCTCCACATGTCGATCGGGTGGCCGTACGGAAGGCCGAGGATGACCTCGGGGGCGCGGTAAAAACGCGATTGGATGTACGTAAAGAAGGTCGCGTGCTCAAAGCAGGATGAGCCAAAGTCAATAAGCGCCACAAGATGCGACTTGGGTTTTTTGAGGAGGATGTTTTCGGGCTTGAGGTCGCAGTGCACAATGTGCTGCGTCTTGAGGAAACTGAGCGCGTGCAGCATTTCAACAGCCATTTTCTTGATCAAGAGCACGGGGAGGCCGCGGAACTGTTCGAGCCGCAGATGCTCGTACAGGTTCAGACTCAAGAGCTCAAAGCTCATGCAGAGGTGGTTCCGGAACGTGAACGACTCGTGGAGCCGAATGATGTTGCTTTTCCCATCGCTATCAGCTTGCTTCATGTGCGAGAGGAGCTGCGCTTCAACGATCGACTGCTCCTGGAACTTTTGCTTGTTGCGCACAATCTTGACCGCCACCATCGCCCGAGACGCGCGGTCGTGGCACTTGAGCACTTGGCCAAACGACCCACGCCCAAGGTGCCCCACAATCTCGTACCGATACGAGAGGTGGTCGTGGACGTTCGCAACGTAGTCGCCATTCTCGTCGTCAAAGCTAAGGAATGCATGAGCTTCGACGCAGACGAGGAGGAGGAAGTACCCGTCGTTGCCGACCGCGTTGGCGCGTGTCTTGGAGGCCAGCGTCCCGTAGTAGTGTACCTTGTCGAACGCCAAAATCTCGGTTTTCTCAAAGTCGAGGAGCTCGTGCGACGCCGTCTCGAGCACCGCTTGTGGCGATTGCACGATCGTCGGCGTCGACTCGAGCCCTCTGTTGTGGCCGCGATTGTGGTCAAAGCCGCGGGGTGGGTCCTTGAGTGGCTGCTGCTTGGGCGGTGGGCGCGGCTCGGTCGGCGGTCGGGGCACGGCCGTGGCCACGGACGTCTCGGCCACCTTGCTTGGCGCGTCGTCCTTGGCGGCCTTGCCATCGACGTTGGCCTTGGTATGACGACTACTACTACTACTATCGGGCTTGATGGATTCGGGCGCCTTGGGCTTGACACTCTCGCGGGGCTTGCTGTTGGCGTCGGGCGGGCGCGTCGGCTGGAGACGCGGGTTACTTGGCAACGGATCGCTCGGCTCCTTGCGCTCGCGCGTGCTCAAGGACGGGATCGACGTCGACCTCGCGGGCTCCTTCTCGACAACCTGCGCCGCTCGCCCAATGTGGAAGCGGTCGCGCAGCGACGGCAGCTCGATGGGCCGGCCGAACGCGCGCATGATGATGCCAAGCCACCTCTGGCGAGAAAGCTGGTGAAACCATCGGCCCTATTTATAGCCGCCATGTAAAAAGCGGGATCCATGGACGCCCTTTCCGGCTTCAAAGACAGGACGTCGCATAGGTACATTCTGAACCAGCTGGGACTGGCGTCGGCGTGGGA